AGTTATCTCCCTTAATATTCTATAACTACTGTTCTAAATTACCTACAAAGACTAAGTAATGCATTCCAATATGCATTACATTAAATATGATTTTTGTAAATGCTTCATTTTCTTATGTGAAAATATATTATAAATTATCTGAATATTGTAGCAAGGTAACAAACATCTTAAAATGTTCCTGCATAACATTAAACAAGGCAACATTTTACAAAACCAGGCAATAAATGATTAACAATAGGTCTATAACCTAATCCCATCACTCCAAATAATTTAACATAGGATTTATTATAATCACAATATTGCATCAGTTGATAAAAAAATCAATATTAAAAATAAATCAAAATTAATTATGGTTTCTACAACATTGAACACCAAAAGCCTTTGCATACACATATTCAGGTAATATCATTCACACAATAACAATTAAGTATTAAGGTAGAGATCAGATACATTTTACAGAAAACAAAATATTCCTGACATATATTTCACATAACCACCGTCTTTTTAAGTAAAATCATTTCCTTGGGTCTATCACTACATCTTTGACTGGCTGGTGTTAAGATTAGGACTGATTTTTAATACATATATTATAAGCAGTCCACCTCTACATACACTTTGATATAAACAACCCAGTATGTAAATTGATACATTTTATGGTCCCTACTGATATACGTTTACATAAATAAGAAAACTTTACATGGTCCGAATTAGCATATTGCCCTAATTGTTTTATGATCTAGATAGTTCATCTCCTGTAGTTACTACCATTATAACAAAGTCTCTGGATTATTCATAAAGATATGACTGTTTAAGTATTTAAATTTCTGGGGGAAAAACTGTGATAGAAGTGTATTAATAAAATAATTAAACACTGACAGATTCCGTTTATAATGTGTTACTACTAGAGTCTATATATAAACACCTGTATAACATACTTGGGACTTGTCTCACCTTTATCACTGTATACAACAATAATCTACCACGGTTTTGTCTCTGATTTACTTCTTCCTCCATAACAACAACACACTTTCACCATATCAATTGGAATTGCTTTACGTCTTTGCAGTAATGATGATACTTTAGCAGTGATACAGTTCACTATATTGTATTGACTGGCCAGGACAGAGGAAGATTGGTATCAATTAGAGTACACCACCGTTGGAGAACACATACCATTCAGAATATCATTAATATCCCACATGTATATTACTTATAATCATCACCTAGTAACTTCATAGCATAAAGGACTTGGAAACGGTTTCCTACAGTAGATCTCTAAAGCAAGATTAATTTTGTTTATTGACTGGATGTCAGGTAAACAGCCAGGCTCATTTTTCAGGCAGAATGTCCTTGTAGTTACTGGAGGCTATGGCACTGAAAAACATATGGTAGGTTTCCACATGTCATCCAGCACAATTACCCAGTAGATCCCAGCTTTCTAAGAAACACAAACTGTCATGGATAGGAAATGTCGAACCATGCACCTCAGCGCTTCATCTGAGCCTGAGCTACCATGGCCCCTGTGAGATTAATTTGTGCATTGATTTGTAAGGAGACACACTTACTTAATCTTTAATAAATATCAGTGAACCTAAAAGCATCTCCCCACTTACATCTTAAGATGTAAACCTTCATCCCATAAAAAGTTCAAACCATCAAAAGAAAATGTGATTCCTAATATTTCATAGTAACAGTACAATTGATTCATTTTTATAACATTTTTATAACATACCTGCAAAATGTAAAAATAAATCATGATTTCAAAAATTATGAAATAGCCTGTGGTTATTAGAAAACATTGTCTCTGTTTACTTGAATTCATGAAATACTGTCAATAAATCTACAAAAACATTATATATAACATAACCTTGTTTGTAACAGTAAATCAATATTGTACAAGGTTTTCAAATGTACACTTTTCAGTGTTTATGGCACCTAACAATAGTACTTTCCATTTCTGTTCATACAGGTGTAGAGTTTCCTTTTAACAAAGAGATAAAACCTTTCCTGTTATACATATATATCTATATAGATATATAGTTCAATTAGATAAGAACATTGTGTATCATTTAATATATATATATAATATGTCATGTATTTGGAAGCAGTCTAGGTCTGCCAATGGTAAAAAGTGAAATGGAAGACAACACATAGCAATTCAAACATTTTGAAACAAAGTAACTTCAGACAAATGTACACTAGCTGAAGTATATAGCAGAGGAAATATTCAGAGCTGTTACAGTTTAATTTACAATTTCAGTTTTTTATTCCAAATGATGAAGTAAGCACTATCAAATTGAGTAGTATATCAATGGCAAGGCAGTAAAAACAGTTGGGATAATCAACTGATTTAGTTCTTCAATTACAAACTTAGTGTTGCTTCCAATTACCATGACATATTTATCTCAAAATCGTCAGTTTCCCTGTGGTAGGTTGACCCTATGCCTAATTTGAAGACTGCTTATAATAGGACATCCAAACGTCATTTGCAGAATTCTTCAAAACTAATTGATATGAATGAACTTATTAAGAAACACATGTTTATTTTTTAGATAAATGTCTCATGTTAATAGGAAGATAAATTGAGTACAGACTGAATACATCAATGTCATGTATACAGTTATACCATCATAAAAGCTTCATACCATATCATTATATTATTTTATCAGTATTCCATAACACAGAGTTATCTGCTCTTGGGAGCAGTTTTTCATTGTCAATCATTATTAGTTTGCGCAACAAGTGACAATATCAACACCTGCTCACAATAGCTGATAACTATACATTACAAAAAGATCGAATTAACGAGACAATGATATGTAGACTACAAAAACTAAACAAACGTAACGGTGACCTTCATTTTCAGCAACAGAGAGTAACTTGAGATGTATATTAATGTAATGTCTGTTCAATGTATCAGAGAAGAATAAAAAGATGGGAAAATGCCCAACAACTATCACTGAAACATGATAATATTCTAATTTGTAAATTAGCTAAAGAAAGAAATTCTTCGAAGAAAAATGGTATCCATAGTTTAAAAAGTTATGTAAATGAAGTGAGAATATACAACTTTTGAAAAATTAATAATTAAAACATATTTCAGATCATCATTTATCATATATCCTCAATTCAAAACATATCATTTGCAATTGGAGGATCTGCATTAACCATTTTCATCATCGATAACATGAAGAGAAAGGGAAGATTTGAAAAGTTAAAGACTTCCAATCTACAATAGTGAAAAAGTCCAACAATACAACTGACAGCACATACAACATATTGATTGTAGAACGTGTGGAATTCTAAAAAGTTTCACAATAAAGAATCAGTAAGGACCATTATACAGAGACATCAGATACTACAATACTCAACAATTATCTTAACCACAAGTCAGTCCAAGTCGTAGTCAGTGCTGTACACACTTATGTTACAGAATAGGGTTTCCAGAGACATTTGTTATGAAATTATTTATCATTGGTAGTTTGAATAAGTTGTGTGAATAGGTGCCCTGTATATAATTTGATCTCATCACAAAATCTCCACTACCATTTTCCTGAAACTTGTAGATGAGTATCATACTTAGAGTTTACAAATTTGATCCCGACCCAAGATCTGCCTTCTAAACATTTTACCTGAGTAGACAGTCATTAATTTGGCATTAGTCCTGATGTGAACATTGTTTCAGTTGTGTTTCTACTTTGGCACCTTCTACTGGTGTACATAAGTATGTAGGCCGTCCAGCAGCTGATCCTTGTACACATCACTATGTTACACATTGGGCTAGTCAACACAAGATCTGATACACAAAGTCACAATGGATAGTTAATTCACATAAAAAGCCAGGTAGCTATTTTAGGAATGGCTATAATATTCTCTATGTACAGTGGTCTAAGGCTCAAGAAGCTTACCGATTCTACTGAGTAAGTCTGTCTTCAGACATTGTTAAACTACTGAACTAGAAAACACAACAATTAATCAGCAGTCAATTACAGGACAAATGCTGGAAGTAAGTACCTCAAATAACTTCAATCAAATTTTAAAAGGATGCTGAGCTCAGCACATAAATAAGACTAGGGCTACTTTTTATTCATTAGCCAGATAACATTTTCTTAGGATTTCATATACCATACACAGCAATTTAATACTACCCTGACCTGTGTTATTACATACAGCATAGCCCTGAACTTGTCAAACAGGCCTCACCTTGAACTGTCGTCCAAACTGTTCTGACTATCTATCCACAAGTTCAGTTTTTGACTCCATCGAGGTCAAAAGACAGAATTTGTCCCTATAGAAAAACAACTTTTTTTCCATCTGTACATGGTTGAAATTTTATATAATTTACAACCACAATGGAAAGGAAAAACATTTTTCTATCAATCTATGTAATTGTCAAATACATTGAGTAAACTCATTCTTTCTGAGTTTCAAGCACATTTTGATAATGCCTGCCATTACAAACCCTCACAAGAGCAGCAGCCATTTCCAAAATAGGTTGATATATTTAATTAGCTTCCATCAATGGCATAGACATGTAGGTTTTAATAGAAAAATGTTTCATCTTTCTATCAATCTATCATTGATAGGCATTATACAGATTTACAAATGAAAATTGTGGATAGTCAGAACCCTTCAAACTGCTTGATCTGTAGTGCACAGGTTTCACCTTGACTTTTACCACACTAGCCTCACCAAAAAGGCCTCTCCTTGACCTGCATCACAAAGGTCTCACCTTTACCCGTGTACACTGGCCCTTTACCAGTAACCTTGACATTTACCTTATTTTATGGATTCATGACCTTGACCTGTGTCACACAGACATCACCCTGACCTGTACCATTGTGGCCTGACCTATATCTGTGCAACTAAACATTTACCATTTCTGGATCAGACAGGCCAAACCTTTACCTGTATCAGACAGGCTTGACCTCTTGACCTTTATCTGTATCACACAGGTGTGACTTTGAGCAAGTATAATATCTATTGTCTATGACAAGTTTTCATACAAAGACTGGTTCAGCATCAGGAGGGAGGTTCCACACAAAGTCAAACTGTAAAAGGAAGGTGAAACCATGATGAGCAAAGTGTCTGTTATAATAGTAGTAGTATATAATAGGACAGGTTGTAACCTACTCATGATTGTGGCTTCCATACTGGTCACGTTTTTATCCCTTCAGACTTAAATTAATTTGTTGACTGCTAATTTTGTTGCCATTTTCCTTTTGTGTTTTATTTATTTTTCCCCCTCCACATATCTTGTCAAAAGTTTGCCCATCATATCGTGTTTTTATCTTTTGAACTTCATTTCACCATTAGTGACATCTTGTTCTGTATATTTGAATATTGGTTACTACTTTGACTTGACTCATATGAGAGATCTGGTCTTCTCACAAGCCAAGGCATCCATTTCCCTACCTCAGCAAATTCATCTTCTGGAGGATTGGTGTTTGGTGAGTAACTAAAGCTTACACCTGTCATGGGAAAAAACTCCTCTGGCACTACTGACTTAGGGTTGATCTGGAAAGTTAAGAAACAATAGAGTAAGACTTCGGTAAAACTGCTAACAATTTCATAATCGTCTTGAACTGTATTTAACTAATTTTTTCTCATTTTAACAAAACAACTCACTCCTGACTTAATTTCTCACCTATTTTAAACATAACCCATTCTTAACTTTATTTCTACAGTATAACAACAACACTTCACCATCTTTTCTATGAGACTATATCTGCAGTTTCTGAAGTGTTAATACCAATCTACACACTATGAGACTCTATTCTGGAAGATAATTACATTCACTAAATTCTTCCATTAACTAAAGCTGAAAATCATAATCTGATGTTCTATTACTGACTTTCCAATGTTCACAATGACCTGACAATATCATTCATGTAGGAACAAATGCTTACTTTTCTTTCTATACAACTAGTGAAGTCAAAAAGTCGGTAAAATGGCATGTTCTGTAATGTAAAGAGATCTGCTAGCCGCCTTTCTGGTCTTTTCATTAAAAGCTGGAAAAACAAAAATGTTCTTTAAATAAAACTAGTAAAATATAGCATATGCAGAATATAAGGAATGTGAGAAGATAAGGACATTTCATGATTCCATTGGATATATAATACACATTTATCAAGCATTGTAGGAGATTAATATTTCAAAGGACTGCAAGATGATTGTAAATCATTGGAATATCCTACAATATCAGATAAAGACATTCCAATCAGGGAAAATGTATAATTTTCTTTACATAACAAGTTAAGAATCCAGCCACCTAAAGTAGGAGTCTCAGTAACACAAGTTTTGGTAACAAATTCTAATCACGACAAAACACCAATTACCCATGGTAATGTTCATTGGCAAGTACTTCCTTGAGATATTCATGGGCTGTCATTTTTTACTGGAACCCATTAGCCAAAACCCCAGTTAGCAGCAGTTAGATTGTTAAACAAGCTTTCTAATTTCACAATAATTATATTTGTCAGTTTTGTTCAATTACTGCAGATTTCAAGGAAATTCTACAGTATAAAGGACCAAGGTGTCAAACTAAAACAAATGGACACTTCTTTAAGTCACTGAATCTGTCATCTCAAGGTCACTGAATCTGTCATCTCAAGGTCACTGAATCTGTCATCCCAAGGTCACTGAATCTGTCATCCCAAGGTCACTGAATCTGTCATCTCAAGGTCACTGAAACTGTCATCCCAAGGTCACTGAAACTGTCACCCCAAGGTCACTGAATCTGTAATCCCAAGGTCACTGAATCTGTCATGATGATGAGATCAAAATGGACACAGTCCAACCTCTCTAGGTCATTGAATCTGTCATCTAAAGGACACTGAATCTGCCATGATGATGAGATATAAATGAAAACTGTCAGACTTCTCAAGGTTGTTAAATCTATCGTCAAGTTTGATGTCAATCTATATCACAACTTAAGAAGAATAGATATTGTGCTTACAAGTTATTATGCTGACTTCAAGGTATATTCATACAGGTGTTACATAATACCTTCATATCTCATGTGGTTACCTTATCAATCACTTCCTGGGCTCGATCACTGACAAAGTTGGGTAATAAGTAATCACAGTCAAACACCTTTGTAGCCATTTCTTTGTGATCATTGGCGCCCTCTGCTGGGTACTATTAGAAGTAGACAAGACAGATAATCAAGATCATATAAAGACTTATATTGCACATAAATAATATTTATCATTGAAACTGACACAAAATTTTCAATACTCCTTTCTTGATCAAGTCTTCAGCTAAGTGTAATTCTCAACATAATTCAGTCTTTTGCTAACACATGAACTCCCGACTTAGAAGGTTCTTTTCAGTTTCCAAAGGACATATCTAAATGATCAATAAATAAAACTGACCAATCAAACATGTCATTTTAAGGTGAAATTGCCTTGTTCCTATTTCGGTAATGCCAAAAATAATGGTAGCTGATTTAATATGAATGAAGAACTATATGGAGAGAAGTCTTGATAGTGAATGTAATATATGTATATTCACTGAATACCAGTCTTATCTGACCTGGATATCAGAAGATAAACATAGCTACTGGCAGAAAATGCTTTTGTTTCATATTCACATTGAAACAAATATGCAAATGCAGTCTACAGTATTTCAAGTTGTGTTTTCCTTGTGGGTAATTTAATTGTGATTATTTTGGTACTGAAGATGTAAAAATCAAACAAAATTTGGCTAATATGTGAGACTTTTCTAAGGCTGGTAAATTTCTCTCTGGTATTTTGTTGGTTCCCTTTACTAGATATACTATACAGACCATCTCCAAAGCATTCGCCCATAGTAACACTGTTAGCATGCTCCTCTTCTCATGAGTTTCCTAATGACCCAAATATCTCTGCTCAGCCCTACATTTCTCAAATCTCATCTTCTTAGATATTTTATCCATAGTTTTATTGTACCTTACTTTAATCCTGAAACTATGTTAAAGACCAACCGTACCTACCTTGCCTGCCAACATGACAAACATGAGAATTCCTAGGGACCACCAATCAGCAGTATGACCATAGGCCTGAGCAGATAGCACCTCTGGAGCTGTCAAAAAGAACCAAATCAGTCAGTGCTTTCTCCTACATAATATATCTTCCACTGTTTACGAAGCAGTAGGCCCTTGTCGGGTAATAAGGCCACACATAGCTTTTTTAGGTTCTACAGAAATAACAGCAATGCTGTTTCATTTCCCTACGTTAAAGTAACACCCCATGTTTGTGTTGAAGTTAATGTGTTATTGCAAAACAAACATAAAAAAATGTTTATATCATTCTGGCATTAACAACCAGTCCTTTTATTGCATCTGAACTATTTACTTGTGAGTCATATAGAGACATTCAGGATTCTATCAAAATAACCTTAATTTCTTAATTCAAAATATCACACTGTTCCCAGAATTACAGTTACTGTAAATGCATGGACAAATGGATAAGACAACAGGCAAAAAGTAATTATGGAATGGATAATACTATGCAGAAAAAATAACCTTAAGCCTGTCACTGTTCTAAAGTCTTAATCTATATGTTGTTAATTTCTCTCCAGGAAGTCTCAAATGTGGTGCCTATGGGTTTTTCTTCTGAAGAAACAACATTAAGTTTTATGAAACCTCACCCATATATTGCAACGTCCCACAGACTGTCCGTGTTCTCTCCCTTGTACCAAGCCATTTGGAGAGGCCGAAGTCTGTTAACTGTATGTGTCCTGTAATAGGAAGGTAATGTCAATCTAGATTACAACAATATATACAATACAACGTGTTCTACTCCATATATACAGTACAACACATATTTCTCAAAATTAATTGTACAACATTGTTCTTCTAGAAAATATTGGACTATCATTTTAAAAGCAACCAAAACTTTAGAATGTCATTGACGATTGGAGGAGGTGTAGTGTAAAATCCATAAACTTTGTTACTAATCAGTATTTTGGCAAAATAGATCAGTACTATCGAATGTTAAAGGTATATGAGAGCATGAAATTTTAACTGTCAAAGTTCAGAATAACATTTAAGACAAGAAAACAGTTTTCCTTCTGACAGAATGAAATTGAAGAACAAAGTGTAAAGGAAAATCTCCAAATATTTCTTTTTGCATGCTGCATTTTGTTTTAATTTCAATTTATTGAATATTGGGGGTAGAGGACCTCCCTGACAAGATTCCGACTTTTTTTTTATCACTTTGGTGGACTTTCCTCAGTCACCTCCTATGCTTCAAAATTCAATCTTCACTAAAGAGTCTTAGAAGGACAAAACAGCTGTTTGATGTAGCATCACTAAAGAGTCTTACAAGGCGAAACAGCTGTATGATGTAGCATCACTAAAGAGTCTTAGATGGACAAAACAGCTGTATGATGTAGCATCACTAAAAGAGTCTTAGAAGGACAAAACAGCTGTATGATGTAGCATCACTGCTGAGTCCTAGAAGGACAAAACAGCTGTATGATGTAGCATCACTGACGAGTCCTAGAAGGACAAAACAGCTGTATGATATAGCATCACTGCCGAGTCCTAGAAGGACAAAACAGCTGTATGATGTAGCATCACTGCCGAGTCCTAGAAGGACGAAACAGCTGTATGATGTAGCATCACTGACGAGTCCTAGAAGGACGAAACAGCTGTATGATGTAGCATCACTAAAGAGTCCTAGAAGGACAAAACAGCTGTATGATGTAGCATCACTAACGAGTCCTAGACGGACAAAACAGCTGTATGATGTAGCATCACTGACGAGTCCTAGAAGGACAAAACAGCTGTATGATGTAGCATCACTGACGAGTCCTAGAAGGACGAAACAGCTGTATGATGTAGCATCACTGACGAGTCCTAGAAGGACAAAACAGCTGTATGATGTAGCATCACTAAAGAGTCTTAGATGGACAAAACAGCTGTATGATGTAGCATCACTAAAGAGTCTTAGATGGACAAAACAGCTGTATGATGTAGCATCACTAAAGAGTCTTAGAAGGACAAAACAGCTGTATGATGTAGCATCACTGCTGAGTCCTAGAAGGACAAAACAGCTGTATGATGTAGCATCACTAAAGAGTCCTAGAAGGACAAAACAGCTGTATGATATAGCATCACTGCCGAGTCCTAGAAGGACAAAACAGCTGTATGATGTAGCATCACTGCCGAGTCCTAGAAGGACGAAACAGCTGTATGATGTAGCATCACTGACGAGTCCTAGAAGGACGAAACAGCTGTATGATGTAGCATCACTAAAGAGTCCTAGAAGGACAAAACAGCTGTATGATGTAGCATCACTAACGAGTCCTAGAAGGACAAAACAGCTGTATGATGTAGCATCACTGACGAGTCCTAGAAGGACAAAACAGCTGTATGATGTAGCATCACTGACGAGTCCTAGAAGGACAAAACAGCTGTATGATGTAGCATCACTGACGAGTCCTAGAAGGACAAAACAGCTGTATGATGTAGCATCACTAAAGAGTCTTAGATGGACAAAACAGCTGTATGATGTAGCATCACTAAAGAGTCTTAGAAGGACAAAACAGCTGTATGATGTAGCATCACTAAAGAGTCTTAGAAGGACAAAACAGCTGTATGATGTAGCATCACTAAAGAGTCTTAGAAGGACAAAACAGCTGTATGATGTAGCATCACTAAAGAGTCTTACAAGGCGAAACAGCTGTATGATGTAGCATCACTAAAGAGTCTTAGAAGGACAAAACAGCTGTATGATGTAGCATCACTGCCGAGTCCTAGACGGACAAAACAGCTGTATGATGTAGCATCACTGCCGAGTCCTAGAAGGACAAAACAGCTGTATGATATAGCATCACTGCCGAGTCCTAGAAGGACAAAACAGCTGTATGATGTAGCATCACTGCCGAGTCCTAGAAGGACGAAACAGCTGTATGATGTAGCATCACTGACGAGTCCTAGAAGGACGAAACAGCTGTATGATGTAGCATCACTAAAGAGTCCTAGAAGGACAAAACAGCTGTATGATGTAGCATCACTAACGAGTCCTAGACGGACAAAACAGCTGTATGATGTAGCATCACTGACGAGTCCTAGAAGGACAAAACAGCTGTATGATGTAGCATCACTGACGAGTCCTAGAAGGACGAAACAGCTGTATGATGTAGCATCACTGACGAGTCCTAGAAGGACGAAACAGCTGTATGATGTAGCATCACTGACGAGTCCTAGAAGGATGAAACAGCTGTAGGATGCCGTTTGATTTATTGTTTGGCTTTACTGTATCTAATTGTATTAAAAGGTGCTATTCACTTGTGTGTCTTTTGTAAAATTTTCAAATGGAGAAAACTTACAAAATTTGACCCTTTGAAATTTGATAGGCAATCTGATATCTTTCCTGAGGCAATGAAATTGACGATTTATCAAAATATGTTTATCATAGAATATTTTTTGTTTTTATACCATCTTTTCACAAAGAACTCAATATTTAATCATTTTCACAAATTCTTACACTCACCATTAACATCAAGTAGTATATTTTCCATCTGAAATGGAGAAGAAACGACAAATCAATATATTGCAGAGTCCAAAGAAATTTGTTTCAAACAAAATACATAAAGTATATTTACATTTGCACTGCACACTGCTAGATGGTCCTATGTTGCCCAATGTATATTATTTTCCAGTAACATACACTGGTGATGTGACTGGTGAGGTAATATATCAGTCACAATTACTGATATAAATCAAAGAGTACAATCTTCTGCATCTCATCGTAGTTGACATTAGAATAACAATTGTGAAAAGATAAATCTATTTCATTACAAATTGCTGCATATCTATTAAATATTTTTATTATTGAATAGAAATAAATATTATTTCATTATTTTTGTGAAATTACTTTGTTTACAGTTTTCCTTGCATATGACATCAGTCAGGTAATCCTACAAAAACGTAGCTGTTCCAACAAGGGGGTATAAGTGAAATCTTAGAGAAGATTTCTCCCAGAAGGATCTTGGTGGCCAACATTGTTTAGTCTGTGTTATCAAAATTCAGACCTTTTCCCTTTATTTATACTCTTTCCTCCATTCTTGCTATAAATTCTATAAAAAGTTGAATATTCTTCCTAGAAGAAGCCATTATGACCTTTAATTTTCGAATCCAAGATAGTCGCCTGTGGACCATTCTATTTTCCTGATCAGTCCCAGAATCAAAAAGGTCACAACCAGGGGCCAAGGGGAACATACATATAAAATGTGTTGAAGATTCACCCAGCTTTTTTTAAGAAACAACAATAATGAACTTTCATTGTCAAAAATCCAAGATGGCTATCTGTCAGCCAATCAAAGGATTACAACTACAGACCTTGAAGAATCTACATAGCCTAAATATGAAACTTGAAAAATATGTTTTTCAAATGGCAGCCGTACTGGATTTCAGACTAACCAAAAAATAACAATACTTTGTCAGGACCAGTTAAGGATTATTTTAGACAAATCTGAATAAAATCCCACTGGTGGAACTTGAGAAGAAAATGTGTTAAGTTAACGGCTTAAGGTCAGATGACATACAAATCTGAAAACCATCAATATATGATTATCTATAAATAAAACTTGTAAACATAACAGATATAACAACAGCATTTTTACATTATAAACTAAACTACATGTATATCCATATGGTACTCCTTTCACTAAACACCTGAAAACCTACCTTAATATCTCTATAAATTACACCAGACTTGTGTAGATAATCTGTAAAAGTAAAGCAGAAAAGAAAACTTAATATATGGAAAGATAATGATAACCCAGTAAAATAGGACAAAGTTAAAAATAACAAGCATTAATAGACTGGTGACTAACAATTGGTAATTACCGATGGCTCACAATAGGCATCTGACTATGGCTCACAATAGGCAGCTGACTTTGGCTTACATTAGACAGCTAACCATGACTTAAAATAGGCAGCTAATCATGGCTTACATTAGGCAGCTAACCATGACTTAAAATAGGCAGCTAATCATGACTTAAAATAGGCAGCTAATCATGGCTTACATTAGGCAGCTAACCATTGTTTACAATAGGTAGCTAACCAAGGTTCAGAAATATGTAGCTAACCATGACTTACAAAAGGTAGCTAACCATGACTTTTAATAGGCAGCTAACTATGGCTCACAATAGGCATCTAACCAAACCATGGTTCAGAATGGGCAGCCAACAATAGTACACAATAGACAGCTAACTATGACTTTTAATAGGCAGCTGACTATGGCTTACAACAGGCATCTAACCATGTCTAACAATAGGCAGCTAACCACAGCTTATAATACGAAGCTAATCATGACTCACAAAAAGGTCATTTTCAGTCACTGACCTATTTTAGCTGCCATTTGTGACCACCTTACTAAAATCGGTCAGTGGCTTACAATAGGTTGCTAATTCAGGTCAGAGGCTTGGAATAGGTTGCTAAAATAAGTCAGTGGCTTACAATAGGAAGTTAAAATAGATCAATGGCTTAACAAGAGGTTGCTAAAATAGGTCAAAGGCTTACAATAGGAAGCTAAAATAGGTCAGAGGTTTACAACAGGTTGCTAATTCAGGTCAGTGGCTACAACAGGTTGCTAAAATAGGTCAGTTGTTTACAATAGGATGCTATAGTAGGTCAGTGGTTTACAATAGGTTGCTAATTCAGGTCAGTGGTTTACAATAGGGGCACTGCTGATTTCCTGTTCCATTGATGTCAAATATTTTCATCACTTTTCATAATTGAGAAGTGCATCATCTCTTATACAGAACACTGACAAATACATCTTGCTCAGAAAGGGTCATTGGATTACAATAAGTACACTTACCTAAAACCATGGCCATCTCAGCTACAAATACTTTTACTAGTTGTTCTGGGAAATAGCCATGGAATGTCCATAGGGTAAAAATATCACCATATGGAATATAATCTAAAACTGGAAAAATCAAAATATATAAAGTATCAGAAATTCCAAGATAGAATATATAAGCTGTATGCTTTTAGGCATGTCAAAGGTCGAGTAGAATTCTATGCTATAAATAAACAGGAGGGGCCTCTTGCATTTTACACACACAATGCTATCCATAAGGGCATTGAAACTTTTTGGACAAAGATTTCATGGCTTTCTAATATAAAATTGATATAACCGAAAGATAAAATACTCAAATTGTAAAATCAAAGATTATTAACCCTGTTGTGGTGTAACAACATCCATTCTACCACAATAGGTTGTTGTTATTTTACCTAAGTCATCCTTCAATTATAATGATTTCAATATTCTAATTATCTAACAAAAACGAGAAACACATCAAAATATATAATGTATGAAGTTTTTTTTTGTAGGTTAACAATACAACAGAACCTTACTGGGGTCATTACAACTGCAGAGGAGTTATTTCCCTTTTTTTCTATCTTGTGTGCCTTAGATCTAAAATCTTGCCAATTTGTGTGATTTCTGAGGAAATAACTCAGTGTCGCAATGGAAAATGGGTCTGAATTGAAGAAAGGTCATATCTTTAAACTTTTTTCAACTAATGCAAATATTCTATAAATGTAACTAAAACACTTGATAAAATAGTTATCACTTTGTTAGGTTTTTATTATTCTTTGTTAACGAGGGATAATTGTTTAAATCTCCATTTACAAACGTTTTCCTTCTAAAAGCAGAAACATGTTAGGAACATATACTAATGTTCAGAACAGTGAAATGCACCAACCAGTGGTTTGATATTTGCTGTCACGCTTGATTGCTTACAGTGTTACCCCTCAAAGCAATGTCTAATATCACCTCCATTTCAAGAGAGTTCCTAATCATTATAACTACTATTTACCCAGGTTGTACAATTCATGCTTGCCATGTATCATTCTTTAAGGAATGAAAACTGTGAATCAAATATAATAACACAGGCTTGGTATTTCTACAATAAACTCTAAATGTCATGTTTTCATTTTAAAAAGAAATTGACATTTTCTGCTGTTTAAGTCAAACAGCAAAACATATGAATTAGATTTTCAAATTACTTGATACAGCTCAATTATCTTTCATTGAAATATTTAGCATTTCTTGATAACAATGAAGGGTACCTCATTTCAAAATATCAGGGTTGACTATAAAAACACTTATTTTTTCCTCTTGATATCAACACAAGTTATATATTTACACAAAACTTACCTATATACAAAAACTTTTTGGATTGCCAGTACTCATGTAACTTCACAATGAATGGATGATCACCAAGCATTGCCTGAAAATAGAATGGAAATGTTTTATGTTAAACAAAAGTGATTCATTCTTTATAGAAGTATGTACTAATAAAACATGAATCATTATGAAACATTTACCAATGTTTACTGGGGATTCAGTAGTTTTGATATTTCCCTTTTCTTGAAGACTTATGACTGCACATCTGCCATCCTGTTTATGTACAATAACTGTACATCAGTCACTTTGGTTACATACATCAGTCACCCTGGTTATGTACAGTAACTGTACATCAGTCTTCCTGGTTATTAACAATAACTGTAACAGTTACTTATGATACAACAGAAGACAATGTATATAACAATTGTACAGGTAACTATCATACAACAGAAGACAATGTAATGTATTTTCCTAGGGCATCAACATACCTGTATTGCTGCCTCATCTTTACATTGTTGTATTGCACCCTCGACTATAATTTGAGTTTTACCCATCACCTGTAACCAAATGATTTGAGAATTCTGTATCAAAGATATATAATGTGAACAAGAGACACAAGAGGGATCTTGGTTTCTACCACTAGTTGATCTTTAAAACATCTACATTAAATATTGGATCTTTTCTCTTCTTTTACTTTTTTTTTTGCTCTTTATGATATGAAATTTGACAATTCCTCTAAATTAATAGCAATAATAACCTTTAAAATGTCAAATTCAAGATGGTTGTCTGTCAGACATTTCTCTCTGGTCAGCCTCAAAATCAGTCATTTTTTTCATATCTGATCAGTCACAATATCAGAAGGGCAAACAAAACATGTGATCATGTGAAACCCAAATATGAAATTCAAGGAAGATCCATTTCATGCTCATTAAGTAACAGGCGGTTTGTCAGCCATTTTTCTTTGTTTGTTTTTATTTCAAAAAGCACAACTTCGGGCCAAAGGGAACTTGTATATGAAATCTGATGAAGGTCCATATAGTACTTCACAAGAAATAGTGATAATAAATACTGCTTCGGGATGGGCATTTCACTGATGTCAGACCTTAGGTGATTTGAATAGCCAACTACCAGATAATGGTGGGCTAATAAGAAACTGCGAATGTCAAAATCAAACAGTCAGCCATTATGATTTTCTTATCAGTCTGAAAATGGACATTGTATAACTAAGGACCAAGCGTAACCTACACATGAAATTTGAAAACGATCCAGTTTTAAAGATATAGCAATAACAATCTATAACTGCCATAATTCAAGATGGCTACCTGTTGGCAATCTGGCTTTTCCTGTCAGTCCTAAAATATACAATGCACAACTATGGACAAAGGGAAACCTATATATGAAATCTAAGAATGACCTATCTAGTACTTCTCAAGAAAGATTGATAAAAAGAACTTTTTAATGACAGAAAAATGGACAAAGAGAAATGTGAACAGCTCACCATCAGATAATGACAGGACTGGAGAAATGGAATATAGATTACTCTTTCAATATTATGTTAGAAGTATCAATTAGCTTAATAAACCAAAATAGCCAAACACAGAACCATTATAAAAAATAATAACAACCTTTACAAACAGTAAGCAGACAAACAAAATAATACACATATATCAGGGAATGTGAGCATATATCTTTCTGCATACTCATATGTTAATACATCATAAGATGGTACATTGATTTATAACGTACACATGCAATATTTTGATACAGAATGACAACGCAGAGCTCTAACAAATGTAGCTCAAAAATTATTATTGATGAAACAAGTAATAAGCAATATTCTGAACAAATGAATTTTGTTTTACAACATTTTGATAGGAAAAAGAAAAGAAAAAATTTCAAAATGAGAATTCTTCTGGAGAAAACAAATTGTAAACATGTTACTTATTTAGTAGATATAAAGTCGCTCCTTGATAATCAATACTGTTTACCTGATACAAACTGTGATCAATTGTTACCTACCTTCATAGCATACACCTGCTTTTCATCCTCACGTCTGACCCGTAATACGTTTCCATAGGCACCCTTTGCTATGACGTCCATAACCTGTGAAAACATTCATATGTAAGTAGCTAGGACCTAAAACTATAACATACTAAATGTTTTTGTTCTTTCTGATTAAAAAGTCACATAAAAATGGATTTGTCATGATTATGTTTGAAATTAAATTCGTATTACAAAAATAGCTGAGAGTGTATAAAAATTCAGAGGCCAAAGGGATATCTATAGCTTACCTTTTATCTCTCAAAGGTCAGCATTAAAGCTCACCTTTTATAGCTCACCTGTTTTGATGAGCCAAAATCAGAAGCAGTACTCCATGGAGAAGTAATTATAATTTTCAAAAAATGTGGAGCAACAACAGTGGAATTTATTTCTGATATGTCAATGTAATTGGATAATATATGAAGTTTTAGTTTATAATTACACTTTGTAATAAGGAGAAGTAGTAATCCATCGACCATGAAGCAGAACTGCATATATTGTCCTATTCTCTCAAGCGTGACAAAAGTGCATTGTAAATTCCTCCTCTCTAGTACCAAGATATTTGTATAGCCAAAGCATTTAAATTAATTCTTTTCAAAGTATATTCTGTTCAAATGGAAATTATTCTGTGAATTTATAAACATCTTTTTTCTTTCTATCTCTCCCTTATCACTGCCTCACTTCTTGGCCTTAAGCTGAGCATTCAACCTGGGAGAAAAGCTTTGTCCCCCAGCCGAGACATATCAGAAGTTTTTGAAAATGGCACTTAATTGCTTCCTGCTTGACATTCAGCATTGTGGTTGTATAACAACTAACTGGTCTGCCTGTTTTTAGTATAATTCAGGATTATGTGACTGGGTGGGGTGTCCTGTGGGGGCCTTCAGGATAGCAATATAAAGTTGACATCAGCTCTGTAATGTCACAAGGTGGCTGACACAAACATTGCAGCCTCCAAAAAACACTTGCATGCAATTCATGTACTCATCGTGAATACAACTGGAGGATGTCCTAAACTGACCCTGGGTGTTGATAGGACATTAGGCAATAAAAACCAAACCAAACCAAAGTACATGCACACACCTAGATATTGACCTGTGTACACTCTAGCCCTTAATTCCTGAGTCATATGATCCGTACAGATTTCCAGTCTAAACCGAAAAGAATACAATTTACAAAGACTTAGCTCAAGTTCAACTTATTAAAACAAGAATATCAGCAAAAGTGATGAATGTTCCCTGAAAACAGCTTTATTGGACACAAAATTTCAGAACACTGCACATTGCTCTGATATGACCAATATGTCACACATATTTATCACTCTGCACATCATCTTAGTATGGTCAATGTATTCATCAAGTTTCGTTACCCTAGTGTTAATGTAAGCAAAGTTATGATCCAGAGACAAAATTTTAACAAAGCGTAATAACTCTGTAACTACGGAGTTGCAGGCCTTGAATTTTGTACACAGATGGTCAGGCAAAGTGGTAACTATATGCTACATGGAAAATTTTAGGCAAACATAAAAACAGGAAGTTGTAACAATCAATGAAGGTCTTACCTCAAACTCCTGCTCCTCAAGACTGCCTCTGACAGGGAAATCAGGGAGAAACAGGGCTTCAACCAAAGGTACTGACCACTGAGCTTCAGATCCTTTATCCAATTCATCCTGGGATTTACCACGGACAAGGCGCTCCGAGCCTCGTGTCTTAGTTCCTCTGACAAAATCTGGATTAGTGGCTTGTAAAAACTGCCAAAGATAAAACATTAAAATTTGTTGTTATATACAATCAGGTGTAACCAAACTCATTGTTCCAGCTACTATTATGACTGATTTTCCAATCATCTCATTTCCTATAAACATATTTTGATTGAATTTTACATTGCACTTCAGTAATAAAGAAGATAACTCTAGTTGAAAAGTGCATGACTTTATACAAGTATATTACCATGTAATAAACTGATCTGTTTAAGAGTGACATGATGACTTTTAATCTTACGTTTTAGATTATATTGAATTTTCATAATCTAAGATAACTTGAACACAGACAGGAGTCTGTGTAAGGCTCCAGCTATCATCAAGAGGAATACACTGAGAAAACACCAATACATCAGAACAGCACCTTTTAACCTGTAAAGAAATCCCAACCAAGTACGATACTTTATTCTATTTCCAAGGCAAATGATTTCCTGGAATATCTTACCAATGAGGTTGACTTTGCCATCCCTAAAAATTTCCCTATAAAACAATTTTCAGTGAAATATGACTATCTTTGAAATTTTATCAATCAGAATCCTCTTTTGTGAAGCTATGGTAACTAGTTTTCATTTAAAAAAAACATTTACATAAGAAATGATTGGACATAATTAGTAAAACCAATGATTCATGTTTGGATAAAATTGAACAAAAGACTCAACAGTTAGAGCCATTTCCCAGAAACCTGTGCATATTGACTTTTTCTGATAGCATGGTGTTGTGATACTGTTGGCCTATTTTTCCAACAGTTTACTAGGCTGGCCTTTGTGACCAGTACCATACCAGGACAATAGGGAATATGTCATTTTATCAAGCTTTAAGACATGTATTGAACCTGTGACCTTGCAAGTAAATAAAGGTAAGCTGTAACTTTGACTATGAGTCAAGGTCATCCATATCCATAAACTTTATAGCAATACAAGTAAATAAAATGAATGAATTGTGATATTATATTGTCTTGATGAAGCCTCACAATTGGCCAAATACAGAATAAACAGGAATTAATCACTTGGTGGGAACACTGGTGTTAACTGTTGTAGTTGATATAGCATTACATAAATGTGTATCTACAGTAGTCAGGACTCCACATCATCCAAAAGCTTTCAACTAATCAGGGAATTAGAGACTGGAGACTAAGGACTGAGGGTTGTAGACTGGGAATTAGAGACTAGAGACTAAGGACTGAGGGTTGTAGACTGGGAATTAGAGACTGGCGACTAAGGACTGAGGGTTGTAGACTGGGAATTAGAAACTGGAGACTAAGGACTGAGGGTTGTAGACTGGAAATTAGTGACTGGAGACTAAGGACTGAGGGTTGTAGACTGGGATTTAGGGACTGAAGATTATGGGCTGAGTATTATAGACTGGGAATTAGAGCCTTGAGACTAAGGACTGAGGGTTGTAGACTGGGAACTAGAGACTGGAGACTAAGGACTGAGGGTTGTAGACTGGGAATTAGAGACTGGAGACTAAGTACTGAGGGTTGTAGACTGGGATTTGGAAACTGGAGACTAAGGACTGAGGGTTGTAGACTGGGAATTAGAGACTGGAGACTAAGGACTGAGGGTTGTAGACTGGGAATTAGAGACTGGAGACTAAGTACTGAGGGTTGTAGACTGGGATTTAGGGACTGAAGATTATGGGCTGAGTATTATAGACTGGGAATTAGAGACTTGGGATTAAGGGATGGGGGTTTTAGACTGGGAATTAGAGACTAGGGATTATGGGCTTGGGATTATGGGCTTGGGATTATAGACTGGGAATTAGAGACTAGGGATTATGGGCTTGGGATTATAGACTGGGAATTAGAGACTAGGGATTATGGGCTGGGGGTTATAGACTGGAGACTAGGGATTATGGGCTGGGGGTTAATTAGAGACTGGGATTATGGGCTAGGGATTATGGGCTGGGGGTTATAGACTGGGAATTAGAGACTAGGGATTATGGGCTGGGGTTTATAGACTGGGAATTAGAGACTAGGGATTATGGGCTGGGGGTTATAGACTGGGAATTAGAGACTAGGGATTATGGGCTGGGGGTTATAGACTGGGAATTAGAGACTGAGGATTATGGGCTGGGGGTTATAGACTGGGAATTAGGGACTAGGGATTATGGGCTGGGAATTAGAGACTGGGAATTAGAGACTAGGGATTATGGGCTGGGGGTTATAGACTGGGAATTAGAGACTATAGGTTATGGGCTTGGGGTTATAGACTGAGAATTAGAGACTAGGGATTATGGGCTGGGGATTACAGACTGAGAATTAGAGACTAGGGATTATGGGCTGGGGATTACAGAATTAGGACTGGGCTGGGGGTTATAGGGGAATTAGGGACTAGTTATAGAATTAGAGACTAGGGATTATGGGATTATGGGGGTTATAGACTGGGAATTAGAGACTAGGGATTATGGGCTGGGGATTATAGACTGGGAATTAGAGACTAGGGATTATGGGCTGGGGGTTATAGACTGGGAATTAGAGACTAGGGATTATGGGCTGGGGGTTATAGACTGGGAATTAGAGACTAGGGATTATGGGCTGGGGGTTATAGACTGGGAATTAGAGAATGGGGATTATGGGCTTGGGACTGAGAATGCATTGGGATTACATTTATTGACAAAATAATGGTAGGCTAAGGTTGTTTTTCTAATCCATTCCACTAAATGCACAAAATGCACTCAAGCAGAAATAAAAAATTTCAGATAATCCACACATGCAAACCAGCATCCAAAATTTCAGATAATCCACACATGCAAGCCAACATCCAAAATTTCAGATAATCCACACCTGCAAACCAACATCCTAAATTTTAGACAATCCACACATGCAAACCAACATCTAAAACACGAATACATTAAAATGTACAATTAAATTATAAGATAATACATGATAAACCTTTTCATAAATACACAACTTGCATTAAACTTCTTTCCATTGTTCATGATCAATACACAAATACCTAAAACATCTATGAAGCTGAGACTAATGCTTCAGGTTAAATTTTAACTTTCCTGTAGAATATCATTTTTTAATTTTTATTCTAGCTTTGATAAAAATATTTTCTCAGTTTTATCCTGGTATGAAAGAATAGTCAATTTGTAAACTGAATCAATGCACACTGCCTGTTCATGATAAGTTTGCAAATCAGGTTTTCTTTCATCCCACTATATCAACTTAAAAATTCAGTGAACTTTTTAACAAATTACTATACATAAATCATGCTACTTCCTGCCATTCAAAGTTCATTCATTAACAGGCCTGTCACATTCCAAATAGAAATACATAGTGTCGAGACAGTGGGCGGAGGGGCTCCGAAAGCATACATGACAGGTGGTTTGTTTACATCATCAGTGAGAAAGAGTGTTGGATGATAAGCAGTAGTAATTTGTGACAGTGGTGAGTGGGAGAAGAGCAAGTTGGCTAGCATTCCTTGCTAATCCTGAAATAACAGATAATATGTTGCTGATGTTTCCTAGATTACACTATAGTTTACTCTATTGAATGACACCACACCTGGTATATGTGAAATAGCAAACAGAAATTCCATTCATAAAAAAAGGAGTTTCAACAGACCCGCTGCAAGGTTGTGTGTTGCTATTGATGCCAAATCTTCCAGTCATTATAAACTGGGCAGAGCTAGATGATATTTTTTTTATCAAAAATGAAAAGAAAAGCTGATGAATCAGAGAAAAACATTTTGCATACAAAACAAAAAAATTAATTACATGACGACAAATGAAGTTTATCGTTAAGTACTTTTATAAACTTATCTCAACAACAAATCATAGAAATTCAGAATTAAGATGCAATAAGATGAGTTTACAAATATCACACTTTTTTCAAAACATGTTGAGAAAGATCATAGGTATGATCGTAAAGTACATGACAGCAAGGGTAATCAAGATGACAGAATAAAATTCATAGCTGATATGAATGCCATGTTACCCATATTTATTCAGCAATGTAACCATATACCTGGTGATAAACCTATTGTTATGTACTCTGTAAAGTAAAATAGAAATCAATGTCATTTCATTGTCCCGTAATAAGCCCATCACTTTGAGTGAAAAATAAAGTCTTGGCTTTGTGAACTTATTACAGGATCTGTATAGTGTAGCATAGTATAAATATTATAGTATTGCAATGCTATATACCGGTCATGGTTAACATGAATGTATGTACATCCTGCTAGGACAGAGGGATGAAAAGGGGATGACATACAACATATTAGCTATGTCCCTAATCAAGATACAGACTTCTAATACTAATATGTACAAAAGAATGCTTTTGATGGCACAAACTTAACATTAATTAATTATTTGTGTACTAACATTTATCAACAGGTAGGGACTTATTTAAACTTATAAATATAGATGATTTATTAAAGTTACAAAATCCTAAATATACACCAAAGTATGGTTAAATTTTCCAATCAATAGAGAAGAAAAATGTGTTTGTTAGTAAAGTCAGGCTAGTAAGATAGCTATAAACTGTAAACAACAAAAGTTTTGCATAATGTTAACTCACAACAGTGTTAACTGAGATCAAACGGAAAGTCACCATTGATTCACAAATAACTGTACAGGATATTTTTGACAGATTTTTCCTAACAATATATATTATATTTCAAACTGAAAATAACTATTAAGGACAGTTTAGACAGTTTTTTTTCCATTGACCAAGCCTTCCCACAGAACACAAACTTTGTCACCTATCCCTCTTAAACAATATCATATAATATTGCTACATATATTGGTAAAACATCCTTTAAAATACAAAATTTATTTTGTTTTAAGAACTGGAAAAACATTATCATTCCTCACTTAAATTTGGGGTGTGACAATAAAATCCTGATCTGAAAGATCTTCAAGTCATGCCCTTGGTGGTGTTGAAATGCAAAGCGTGGTAGCTAGCGTGGTAGCTAGTGATTGGTGTTATTGTCCCTGTAAATTAACACCTTCATGTTCAGAAATTTGAAGTAGTCACTAACTCTAATTTACCTTATTTAGGATGTACAGGTAAACTGGAACACTGTTAATCCAAACACTTCATATTAAAAAAGAATAATTAATTTAAATCAAATCAAACTCCATCTTTTTTTTTTTTTATAGAAATTGCAAAATATGCTTTTCCAACTTAATTTGGAAGAAAACCCATGGAAAACCCATGTGGTCAGGCAGGTGATCCCATATTTTTTCATGTCTATTTGGGAAATCAAACTATTGCCATCAAGGAGAAAGGCAAGTGTGTTACCAGTACGTCACCTGACCACACAGAAAATGGTGTTGGAGTTGGAAACATATAAAGAGATTCCTTTGTTATTCTGGATTATAAAATTTAACTCAACAAATGTGTTTGGACTAACATGGTTTCACTGTATATGTCTGTGAGTTTCATAATTATCAGAATTCATAATACTGAAGCAATACAAAGATCAATTATTTTGGACAATTTAACAATGCTTTGGTCTGCACTTAAAAATTAAATACATTCAGACATAATTAAGTTATCAGTGACAGCAGCTGGTCACTGGGAATGCAAATGAAATCCCATTCCATTGATAACTGACAGATAAAATTTGAATTACTAAAATGCATGTATACACAGATACGTTGTATTTTCTGTCCTATAAAATACACAAGACAAAACCCAAAATGCATATATTCGCCAAAAGAAAAAACTTTCACTACGTAGTGTAATGTGAGAATCTGAGGACAATGAAAACCAAATTTCAATAAGCAAGCCATGTTGTATATAAACAGCATCCTATACGTGTATGTGTATATATACATACAGTACATCCTGTCTAAACGGGTCACTGCATAATCTGGATACCTGTCTACATATTGATATTTTGCATGTTCTAAAACCTGCAGTTCCTAAGAACCTATCTTATCCAGATTCTGTCTATTCTGAAAACTGTTTTTCTATTGTTTCCATATAATAAAGTAACAATAACCCATTTCGAAAATTGAGAAATGTAGTATGATTGCTGTTGTTTGCCAATTCACTTTATCACAAGCCTAACAGCAGAAAGATGTTTCGAAAATATTATCGTGTTTCACTTTTTTAGTATTGATATTTTATAGATTTACTCAAATTCATTTTAAATGCCTAGATCTACAGACACCTTAGATAGTGGTTACCTCTATAAACTGACCAAATAACAAAACAATATCTTTCTGTCCCAGCGACATTCTGTTTACACCAAGTAAAAAGTTATATCAAGTAAACAAATAACATTCTGGATGTAAAATTGATGTAAGTAATGCTAACCAGTCTGAGGGCAAAAATCATCTTATTTTGAACAGTTTTACCATGCTGTAAATAATGTCAAAATATGGTTTCAGGTAACCATTGTATATAAATTCCTAATGAAGCCTGGAGAGCGCTTGACTGTGAGTAATAAATCTATAGAACTCACTCTGATTGATATTCCTCACTTAAATTCAATTTTGTTTTTTTCATTTATGGAATAAAAATATGTAAAAAAAAAATAGGTCTTATGAATATCTGAGTATGAAGCTCACACATATATACACTACATACCTAAATATTTCCCCGAGTGTTACCTTACGATATTAGGACTTTTTCTCACCTTCTTGAACTTGCTGAACAGGGAAAACCAATGTAAGAGTTGCACACTGTTACTGCCAAATGCTGCCTGAGCATACATATCTGGGGTCAAGCTACATTTGTCTTTAACAAAGATATGATTAATTGTACATTAGAAATTAAAAACAAATGAAATCATTGTTAGGGGTTTATGAAGAAGTATAAATAATTACGGGGCATGAATCTTTATAAGCAAATATCGAAGATGAAGAAATACCTGTAATAAAACTATTTGACACAAACAAAATATTTGACTAAAAATGTTACTTTCTGTTGTTACCAATACACTACTCTAAACTAATGAGTTATATTCCGACAGAGAAAATACAACTACTTCAGAGTCAAATTAAAAAAGAATTGTAAACATACATGTATTAAAATAGCACAATTTTGTCATCTAAGTGTACATTTTAATTGTTGATCTTGGTAGCACACTGCAATAAATGCATGAACAATGCTAATTTTTTCCATAATTTCTCATTAAACTATTAATATGTACATCATTATTTATTCATTTGTTATCCATTCATCATCTGCTGTTCAAATATTTTATTATTCTAATATCAGTATGTTTACAGCTATAAACAAGAAAGAAGGAAGGCACAATCAAACAAAACAGCAAATATTAAACAAATTTAACCAAATGATAAATGTGCACACATCAACTTAAAAACAATTTGGTTGAAATACATGTATGATGGATGGTCAGTAAGCAGACTTCAAAAACTGCATGGCTGAATCTTTGAACCATTCACATGTAGTGATAACTGATAGTATTCTTTTGTGCTAAATACAGATTTTCACTCAGGTGATGGAGCATGCTTTCATTGGCTAATTGGTTAAGGAAATGGATTATCATGCTGAGACCTGTGTGTAAACTGTGTATAGGCACTTGGCCAGAATGTGTTTTTTTCTGTTCTGTTACACCACATTACAAATTCAATCATCCTTGATTCTAAGTACCCTAAAATGAACAACAATAAATTATGCAAGACTTCCAAATTTTGATACTGTTAAAATTGATCTTACACCAGATTTCAACATCTAATACCTCGTTATCATTTATTCATCATATTTTAAGTCCACTATTACAGCCTTTCAGCCTTTGAATTACTTAGTACCACATTATCAAACTATCAGTATTTTACTATCTTCAAAGGGAAGAAGAATTAGTCTACCATTTAGCTTATTTTCAAATCCCCTTTATAATATCCTTGGCGCATTAGTTTCGGACCTCTTATGAATCATTTTCCGCTAGCTGCGCTATGTTGACGAACTGACATCAAACAAATACATAAATGACTTGTGTTCATACCATAAGATTTCTTTAAAAGACTGATCGGTGAAATACGTGTAATATTCTAGAAAAAAAATCCATAGATATGACCTTGAATCAGCTCACCTGAAATGACGAAAATGTATATCGGACATGTGACTGCACTTCCGTTTCTGGTGATATCACTAAATCAGAGACGGTTGAGTGAGCTTAGAGTGACCCAGAAGTATTACATAAAATCATCATTGGAACAGGATTGGTATTTTGATGAAAATAAAAATCAAAATACATTTACAGAGCGAAAGTGGTGGATATCTGTGTTTGTGTGTGCACCTTTTCTAAATGGCAAGATTCAAGTTTTTATTGTTTGATACTTTTTTCTCAAATGAGCCATATTTCTTGGTAAACTTCTTTTTTTATAACACAAACTATTTAAATAAAGTTGATTTTTCATCTCTCTGTCTACAACTTGCTGTTTAAAATGAAATTGGAAATGAGTATTCAAAAGCGATAATTTGTAAATAGTCATGTTTCCAATATAAGATGGTCAAGTTTTGAGTTCCCTAGCCAAAAAATTGTAAGGCCTTGCCTATTATTCATGGTCAATTTTTATTCACATGGCAGACAACAATGAAACATTGGCTCATGAGGATGAATTGATGGGTTATTTCATCATATCTTTGAGGATGTTTGACATGTAACAATGTATATTAAGAAAAATACACATTTTGCTTATGATACATAATATTTCATGATGAATGGTTTAAATCACAATTTTTTATTCTTTCTGAAAGCGTGACATGTTATAACAACCAAAATTATCCGGATGCAAGATCACGAAAGTCATTAGTTTATGTGATACGGCTCGACGAAATGGCCGTTCCGAAATACATAACGGTCCTGAACCGATGTCCAGACGGTACATTTAATATATATAGGGGTATACAATGTTTTCAAATACAACTGCATTGCGTATACATTTTTGCCCCCATATTTGCGAATGTTTGTATAATAAACCCCATAAGAAGTGATGGGTTAAAATGGGTATCATTAGATAAGCTATAACTTTATATTGTGTCTTAGTTTTTGGTGATCCATAGCCGGCCAGAGAACGATTCCGCTAGGTCCCTCGGTCCGGGACAAGAAGTGGTGTTTGACTGGTGTCAACATTTACCTGAGATCCTGGAACAGATTGAGCTTTTCTTAACGGCAGTTTCTGGTTATTATTCCCCATCCTTTTTCAATTTCATGTTTTGAGGTTTTAATTGTCATAGCAATTATCAGTTCACTTCGAAAACCAAAATCAACGACCCGATTGCTTCGACCGGAAGTAGCTGTGAAAAGCCGTTTAAATAGACAGAAACACCCGATAAATTTTAATATAATTTTTTTATCTGACTCTTCGTCCTTATATCGCTTTACACTGTACCAAACTTCTAATATATTCTTATAGAAGGTTGTCAGAAATTAAATTTCGAAAAATAGTCATAAACTATTTGCATTTTTGGAATAGTATGGACTATATTTGCTGTGTATACCAAAATATCGAAGTTAGGACTTGTACATCTGACCTGAATATGAACCGAGTATAACAAGGGGAATAACTCTGGGATGTCAGAAATTTGCTCTAAGTGGTTTACAAAAACCTCAATTCAAAAAAGTGAGAATTTAATTATTTATTTGGTTTAATACATTTTGCCTCATTTTGCAGTTTGACATTTCATATTTTTACGTTCAAGAATCAGATACAGTATCCTGGAATTCTTGAATAGTTGATGCAGAAATTTTGCATAGTTTTTTTCCAATTGATTGAGATTTTGCCAGTGAAGCAAAAATGAAATGGATGTTTTTGTGAAATAAATTTGTATTAAACCTTCATACAACTTCATCATATCATTGGAAATTATACATTTCATCATTCTGTAATATCGAGGAAATGAGTAAAATTATTTACATAATTGAATATGTAATATGAAGATATCTGTTTATTTTTTATTTATCTCAATCAAAAACGCATGTTATATAAGGTAGTAATTCATGCCAAAGAATTTAGTTATAGATAAAACACAAAAATATATAAACATGTCATATTACATATTCATTTGTGACACATAATACACAAATCATATTTCAATGCATTTCTACAAAGCCAGCATCATTTTTATCGTTATTATTTCTTCTTCTTTTTCAACCCTTTATTTTTCATTCACAATACATATCGAACAACACGAAACAGTTCATGATATCTACCACCAGTAAAATACATTTGTTACATTGGTCACACAAATTTAATATTCAAATGCATACACAAAAACCCATATAGATACATACAGACAACAGACAAATTTCATATATTCAACTATGCAAAAAATATTTAATTACATACGTAAACTAGCACATCACAGAATATGAAATGTAAATTGAAGAAAAGGAGCCAAAAATAGTAATCATTGTTAACCACTCTGCTTAAGATTTCAAAGTTTCTATTCATAGAAGAGCTGAGAGATGAGAAAAGATGTTGATAAAATCAATATATCAATATAAAAGCTAACATGTTTGATTTTGAGCAATATTCTTCATTATATTAAAATTCATGCTCGGTAAGTAGTCGAGGCCTGGTTTGGCGTACAAGTTTTCTCCCTCAACCAAAGGGTTAATAAATAGCGATACCGACATTGACAATGTGATAAACACCATCAGGAACTTGTCGTTGTGTGGCTGTGAACGTGAAAATTGTATACAACAATTAACGAAGTAATACTCTTATGTATCATTAACTAATAAATGTATACTCATGTTGGCTGGTCTGTATTTTGATCCTAACATGGCATTACAATAGTAATGTTTGTCTCCTGTTTTGTTGTCGTCATATTTGTACCACTGCTTTATCAATATCATTAAACTTATTATTTTTTACTCATTATAACATATTTCCGGTAGTCTTTCAAATATCCAACACTGAAATGTTATACATCTATAATAAATAAATACTATTGTGAGTCTTAACTTAGATTTCTGACTCATGTCTCTTTGTGGTGGTTTAAGTGACACCGCCGCATTTATGACATATCATACGTGCTCTGACCTTCGAGAACAAAAATGGCGCTGTCGAGAGTTGGTCTGATGCGGCAGGTTCTAAAAAATGCTGTCAAAAGACCAGCGAACCAGCCAAAAAGGGATTGTGGCTACATTTATAGACCAACAGAGAGTGTAAAAGAAGGAGCTCACGAATATTACATCCCAGAATATAAAGGTATATCGATGTGAACTTCGACATGAAACTACACAATTTACCGGCCCATAAGTCTTTTCTTATAATGCATGGTAACAGTGGTGCGATGTAAATCATGCTATCAACGCTACTGCACACGTCAAGTACGCCGTGCTAATTTGTTAATCGGGTTTGGAACACCATCTGAAAGTCAAGAATAGGTCCGATGTATAACTCCGGTGCAGTATATCCTCGCCCTGACCTTGGTGCATCAGTCTCGGACACTTCAAGAATGAGTGTACATTGTTCGATAGCTATTGCAGCATAGGTACTACGTCGATGAATTGCAACTAAACAGAAAGAATAAGTAGACATATGAAACTGTTCTGTTACTATGATAAGATTGATTCTTTATTATGAAAAATGTAGTGTTATGACAATTATTTTTGGTAGAAGTGATTTTTACGTTAGAAATATTAACTTAACTAGTGTTTTGGTAACTCGATAAGTCTTTCGTTAATTTTATTGTAGCCCGAAGGACTCTGACTGTCTATTCGTGATTTTATTTTTGTCTTAGTCGCAGCCAATAGCCAGAATTCCTGGCTGTTTAAAGAGGCCAAGTTCAGCGACCTCTCCTAGGCTCAGCATTCAGGCAATGTTTTATATTGTTCACAACAATGGCAGTGCAATAGTTGTAAATCATACATCAATGCAAAGATAAATAATTTTTCTCCTCTAACTTGCATATGTGTGCAAACAATTAAATGTTATAAACTAAGTCTTTCCATTCATTTTCCCTAATGACTTTACTCTCCAAAATATTTAGAATGGCCACCACCATTATAGGACCTAATAAATGTTCAAATATGACATAGAACATCATTTAAATGCAGATAAAGATGATATACTTTTGGTGTCATAGGTGACAGATACAATTGTTTGTTGCTCCATGAAAAGATCAAGGATATTGTATATCTGTGTATAATCTGTTTGAGATCAGGCTCCTAGGATTCAGAGGAGAATCAGATATCATTCTATGGAATGCCTCAGAACTGGGATGTAAGAGTACAAAATGTTAATGAAGTCAGTTGTGTTATGCATATATATACCCCATTGTAAGAACTTTACTTTTACAATTTGAAGTTAAAATCTGATTATCAAAATCAAGGTTTTCCTAAGAGCCGGTCGCCGGCCAATTTGACCGGCTACTTTGATCATTTGGCTGCCTACACCAATCCAGTTCCATGATAATGTTCCATATACGACTACACGTACATGGCAGGCCAGCCTCCTACTTACACTACACAGCCAACTACTAGCAAAATTATGGAAAACCCTGCAAAATGTATATTGACTAGCTATATACAGTGTTTAGTACATGATGGGTACAGTAATGCCATTTAAACAAACAATTCTCTCAACATTTATGATAGCCTTATTAGCATTGTCATGTCCTAGTTTACCTTCATGTCCTTGTTTGAAATATTCAACAAAATATCACAGATTATCTTTACATTTTCAGCGGTGATTGAGAAAGAATACAAGACATCACTCAAGGTATCCATCCCACTTCTGATCACAGGAATGGTTCTAACCATACTGACTGAGGAACACTCTGAAGAGCGTCCTGAGTACCTCCCTTATGATTACATGTACATAAGGAAAAATGTAAGTTATAACATTAATTTGTTGAGAAAACAGTGATTATTCCTACTAAAACTTACCACTAAATCAAAAGTTTTGGTATATATCTACTGTTATGGAAAACCAAATGCATTAATGAAGGTAGTTGCCAGCGATTATACCCTATAGCTAGTCGTCACAGGAGACTATGACAATTGACATGTCAAATTACATACTGGAGCAGGAAGCTTAGAATCTGACTAGATTTTTAGTTCCCTCACCTGAACCAAAGACTCAAGTGAGATTTTGCTATTTGACTCCATCCACCTTTGGTAAACTTTTCTAGGCAGATTTTGATGAATTTTCATAGGAATGGTCAATACAGGATATTATCAATTTCTATCATGTTTTAAATGGAAAAGAAGTTCAAGATTGCCACCATCAAACACAACTTTAGGATCTCTTCTGAACTAATACTAATAGCTGGTTTACCATAAGAATGATATTGATGAAATTTTCTAGGAAAAATGACACTCATTTTAGTTAAAGGACAAGATAACAATACTGAAAAATGACTTGGAATTGATTTTCTAGCAGTATGTGTACATGAAGAGGTAAATAAGATTAAGGATCATATCAATGAGCTTTGAATTTTAATGGATTTAATTGTAATTTTTGTGGTCTCTATTAAACTATGTATACATGTGCATATACAAAAGTATACTGATTGATATTGGGCATAGTAGTCAATCACAACAGGTGAAGAGGCTTGGTTCATCAATTTATTGTCGACCGGTTTCGCCCCTTTATGGGGCTTCTTCAGGACAACATAATAGTAATTTTGCATACCTAAAGTACATAAAATGAGGGGACTTCTTCAATTATTCAATTATGACGTATGCTCAAGCGGCATAACTACCTCATGATTGTACATATATTATAAACATATTGATGACTTATTTGACCTGTGATGGCTTATACATTTATCTTTGGAATAACTTTTAACTTGAATTAAGATTTGCAGATGAAAAGTATGCAATATTGATTGATATTGATGACTTATTTGACCTTTGACCTTTGGTGACCTGTATATCTTGACCCTTGGCGTATGCTTGTCATTTTAGAATACAAGCATTAGAAAAATATTGACTATTGTGTTAAAAATATATTAACAGAAATAAAGAGTAGGCAGGAAAGGAATGATTAATTGACCATTGATATCTGATTTCTTGTTCTGAAACATACTGAAAGAGTTCATAAAATTCATTAAGCAAAATTTCAAATAGCTACACATAATAATGTGTCTCATGCTATGTGTAAAGAAATAATTACCAGATCAGGCGAACATTTAGGCCTATAGGTTTCTCGTCTTATTTTAAAATTATTTAACCAAAATTCAAAATTTAGAATTTCAGGTAAGAAGTCTGTTATCAGTCTCATTCATCATTAATACTTTTAACTTTGTTATTTCAGCCATTCCCCTGGGGAGATGGAAACCATTCATTGTTCCATTGTGATGACAGTAACCCTATGCCTGATGGATGGCCTGAAAAATAAGCCATTTTCAGCACTAGACAAAACTTTTTTCGATAGAAAAACTTTTAAGACAGTGTTTGTAACTAAGGAATGCCATGGTCAATCTGGCTGAAGCATTTTAAACTTAAAATATGGAACTTTTGTTTTGTGATTAAATAAACTTATTTGTTAAATTGTCTTTTGTTCTTATAATTTCCGAGACTTCAATCTGATGTCAACAGATCTGACATCTCTCCAGACATTGAAAATCATTAGTGACTACAGGTTTTCTATTTCTAGCACCACAGTCAGCAGATGGTGGGCTGTCCAAATTGGCTTTGTCCATATTCCATATGTCCAGGTTTAGGCTGTGCTTGTTATTTCTTGAGAAGTCCTTATTCTCAAAGGATTAAGTATTATAATTATTTTTTTTTTTTATTTTGGGGGCTAAGAAAGGATACGAATACTACATAATTTCCTCCAGTAAATGACCTTCAAGTTAAACACCTTTTTATTAAAACCAGAGTATTCATAGTGACCTTTATTGGACATATATGTTGAACATAGAATAAGAATCATAGAACTCATTATTCTTGCATTCTTGCCGTAATAACCATGTGAGCAATACAAATTATCTGGGCCTCTTGTTTGTTAAGCTATATAATGAGAAGCTCTGAATGGATCATTTCAAATATCACAATCTTTTCCTGGTCCATAGTTGTGCATGATTACATTTTGAAACTGGTGAGGAAAAACAGAAATGGCCAACAGGCGACCATCTTGGATTTTATAGTCGTAGCTTGTTATTGCAATTTCATATAGGTGCATGATGGATTGTTCTCAAACCTATGTAGGTCCTCATTTGTCCTAAGCTACCATGTCAATCATTTTAGGTGATTGGAACTAATTTGAAAAGTAATAATTCCAAAATCAGGTTTGTTTTTCTGAGTAAAAATCACCACTGCACTGTTCTAATGTTATCAATACACAAATGTCATTTCTTAATCAAATGTCAATGCAAGTTCACATAAATCTGTACAAGTTTAACCTCATATCTCATTGTATTCACAAGGATAGTTAGGTTAGACCTTTCGGGGTCAAAAACAAGGTCATCAATACAATCCTCTGGGTTCCATATATCAGTAGTCCTTGGGATCGAAACAAGGTTATTACAATCCTTGTGGTCAAAAGCAAAGTGACCAATACAATCCTCAGACTCAAGAACAAAGTTTCCATTACAATCCTCTTGGTAAAAAACGGTTACTTTTGCAATCCTTGGGGTCAAACAAAGTTACCATTACAAACCTAAGGGTCAAACAATGTTACCATTACAAACCTAAGGGTCAAACAATGTTACCATTACAAACCTAAGGGTCAAACAATGTTACCATTACAAACCTAAGGGTTAAACAAAGTTACTATTACAATCATTATTAAACCTTGTCACTGCTGTGGTTCCAACTAGCGGCCCTTTAGTCACTAGTCAGACACTCTACTGCTCAAAAAAAGGGAAATTCCTATAAGACTATTGAGGCAACCTGTACTCGCAACTTCTATGCTACTCCAACCTGCATGAAGTCTTCGAAAAACACCCTGTCACTGCTGGGGTTCAAATTACAGTTGTAACAACCCTTCTCTCTCTAGTCTGACACCCTACTAATCAAATAAAGGAAATTCTCACTAGCTGAGGATAGTAAGGTGACCTGTACTGTCAACATTTTCATATGTATGGTTACATTTAGATGACTTCTTCCCACAATTGAAAGATGACTGTGAAGTCTTTGAAAAGTTATAGAAAGTTTTGTTCTATTGACATATACCACGATGAAAAAAATGTTTTGAAATATAAGCTTCATTATTTCATTTTAGGAAATAATTTCATAAGATACATGCAGTATCAAAAATGGTCCTTGTCATTTACATTGTTCTTTCAAATATCTGTCAATAACTGCCATATTGTTAACATAACAAGTTTATCATCTGAAGTCATATTATGCTTTTCATTTAAATGTCGTGAACACTATCTTCATATAAACATAACCCTGGGGTAATTCACAAGTTAAGGGGTCACAGTTGCCCAGTGATTAAGGCGTCTGACCATTTGTGTCTCTTGCCCTCCATCTCTTGGTCGTGGGTTCAAGGTCAATATCAGGTAGTTACTCGGTACTGGCTGCAGGTTGTGTTTTTTTTTCTGGAAACTCCGGCTTTCCTCCACCTGGCACATTCATAAAACAACGATAAGCTGAATACAAAATACTTAGTATAATTCTTTCCAAAATGGTCAGATTCTTTAATGGCATGACCTATTCAGGAAAATGTTTCAGTGAAAATAAAAAAAATGTATATATATGTCTTACTTCAGCACTTCTGAATAGCATCTACCCATCAGCAAACTATGACATCCAAAAGAAACTTGTTCAAATCTAAATCTGAAATTGCACTGAAATTGTCGCTCAGCTGGGACCTAAAATCAATGTTTCTACATTACTACATGCACATACTAACAATGATTAATGTTAAGACACTTTATAGACATAATAATAAAATATCTAATAAAATTAATAAAACAATTTGAAAACGACTTGTGTTCCAGTTGTGTAGACATGTTTTTTATCATTATAGAAAGGAAAAAAGAGACCAGAACTGGAAAAATATATTTGATTTTGGTGCCATCTGAACATCGACCCCTTAAGCATATCATATGGTAGGATAATTTCATTTTTTAGTTTGACAACATCAATATTTCTTATACTGACAATACTTGATCTTCATACATGGCTGGGCCTTTATTTACAACAACAAAACGAATGCAATCAAATACCTGGAAACCTCCATGGGAACATACTTAATGTTTGAAAGTGAAAGTAGACTCTTGTCGCACAAGCGCTTTAATTAGTAGAATTATAGTTCATGTTAAGCATATAACTGATAATGATTTTCCAATTGATACGGAGCTGGAGTATGGTGTATCAGATGCTTTAACAGGATAAGACTCCCACGACTGTCTTAGAGGAAATACAGGAAGGAAGGAGACAGCAACATGAAACAAAGGTAGATATGTATATCGATTCACCAGACAATATATCAAGCACACTGAGATTCATATAAATATATCATAGAGTAAAGAATATATAGATGTAGAGTGGATGGTACTTAAGTAGTCGCTGGTTTCTGCTGATGTGTGGTTATAGATTTATATCTAAAAGAAAAGTTACATTTGTTTATCAAATGCTTCAGAATTAAAGGAAGCAGTGCAGCAACCCTGAACATGGGGAGTGCATCTTCAAAGAAGAAACATGAAAGAAGCTGGGATGAAAGGGAAATAAAAGAAACCAAGCGTGCCAAGACAGAACTGAAAATTGAGGAAGAGTTGCCCACAGAAACAGAGTATGATACCAAGTTCTGGGGGCCATATCTGTCTGACCGACAGTGGGGAACAGTCAGAGAGGACACAGAGGTGAAGGGTAATAGCTGGTAAGTCTGTAAGAATACATAGGTGAATAGTAAGTCAGGGAGGTTAGACAGGTGTACAGTAAGTCATGGAGATTAGACAGGTGTACAGTAAGTCACTGAGGTTAGACAGGTGTACAGTAAGTCACGGAGGTTAGACAGGTGTACAGTAAGTCAGGGAGGTTAGACAGGTGTACAGTAAGTCAGGGAGGTTGGACAGGTGTACAGTAAGTCAGGGAGGTTAGACAGGTGTACAGTAAGTCAGGGAGGTTAGACAGGTGTACAGTATTATAGTAAAATATCATAACAAGAAATCAATCTCATTTGTCCCTTGGAATTCACCACAATTTTTCACTGTACCTGGTTTTAAGTTGACAGAAATTAATGAATATACCTGGCCTTAATTTCATGTCTGGTCAGCTTGTGATTTATAATTCTCCTGACAATTGGTGAATTGATGGAATAAAAAAATTATCTAAAACATTATTATGTCTAATAACAGCTGGAATGCTGTTGGCCATGATGCAGCCCGTGAAAGGGTGTACATGTGGGGAGAGGATGGTTTGATGGGCGTTTCTGACTGGGAAGGTCGTTTGTGTGCCAGTCTTGCGCTATGGAATGGTAAAGATCCATTTCTTAAAGAGAGGCTGTTTGGTCTTTCAGGCCCAGAGGTTTGTACATATTTATTCTTTTTGCTGTTTTTGTAGTCCTGACATTGCTCTAGAGAACAGTTATCCCTAGTTGCAATCTGTATGAATTCAGTAGCTTGAGATTATCAAGTCATTCACTCACAAATGTGGACAATTCCGGGTCTTCTGGGATTCAAGTTTCTTTACAAATTTCATGCTAAATTTTCTAACTAAAATGAAAACAGTCATTTTGTTTTAATAGATTATGTTTTATACAACCAAATAAAACATAAGGCAACCATGGTGAGATGACTATATTGTTTAGGTGTATTGTGTAGGGTAACCATGGTGAGATGACTATATTGTGTAGGTGTATTGTGTAAGGTAACCATGGTGAGATGACTATATTGTGTAGGGTAACCATGGTGAGACGTCTATATTGTGTAGGTGTATTGTGTAGGGTAACCATGGTGAGATGACTATATTGTGTAGGGTAACCATGGTGAGATGACTATATTGTGTAGATGTATTGTATAGGGTAACCATGGTGAGATGACTGTATATGTGTAGGTGTATTGTGTAGGGTAACCCTGGTGAGATGACTATATTGTGTAGGGTAACCATGGTGAGATGACTATATTGTGTAGGGTGACCATGGTGAGATGACAATATCGTTTAGGTGTATTGTGTAGGGTAACCATGGTGAGATGACTGTATTGTGTAGGTGTATTGTGTAGGGTAACCATGGTGAGATGGCTATATTGTGTATGGTAACTGTATTGTGTAGGTGTATTGTGTAGGGTAACCATGGTGAGATGACTATATTGTGTAGGTGTATTGTGTAGGGTAACCATGGTGTAGGGTAACCATAGATGACTTTTTTGTGTAGGTGTATTGTGTATGGTAACCATAGTAAGATGACTATATTGTATAGGTGTATTGTGTAGTATTGTGTAGGGTAACCATGGTGAGATGACTATATTGTGTAGGTGTATTGTGTAGGGTAACCATGGTGAGATGACTATATTGTGTAGGGTAACCATGGTGAGATGACTATATTGTGTAGGTGTATTGTGTAGGGTAACCCTGTTAAGATGACTATATTGTGTAGGGTAACCATGGTGAGGTGACTATATTTTGTAGGGTAACCATAGTGAGATGACTATATTGTGTAGGTGTATTGTGTAGGGTAACCATGGTGAGATGTCTATATTGTTTAGGTGTATTGTGTAGGGTTGCTATGGTGATGGTGTATGGTAACCATGGTGATATGACTATATTGTGTAGGGTAACCATGGTGAGATGATATATTGTGTAATTGTGTAGGGTAACCCTGGTGAGATGTCTATATTGTGTAGGGTAACCATAGTGAGATGACTATATTGTGTAGGTGTATTGTGTAGGGTAACCATGGTGATATGACTATATTGTGTAGGGTAACCATGGTGAGATGACTATATTGTGTAGGTGTATTGTGTAGGGTAACCCTGTTAAGATGACTATATTGTGTAGGGTAACCATAGTGAGATGACTATATTGTGTAGGTGTATTGTGTAGGGTAACCATGGTGATATGACTATATTGTGTAGGGTAACCATGGTGAGATGACTATATTGTGTAGGTGTATTGTGTAGGGTAACCCTGTTAAGATGACTATATTGTGTAGGGTAACCATGGTGAGGTGACTATATTTTGTAGGGTAACCATAGTGAGATGACTATATTGTGTAGGTGTATTGTGTAGGGTAACCATGGTGATATGACTATATTGTGTAGGGTAACCATGGTGAGATGACTATATTGTGTAGGTGTATTGTGTAGGGTAACCCTATTGAGATGACTATATTGTGTATGGTAACCATGGTGAGATGACTATATTGTGTAGGGTAACCATGGTGAGATGACTATATTGTGTAGGTGTATTGTGTAGGGTAACCATGGTGAGATGTCTATATTGTTTAGGTGTATTGTGTAGGGTTGCTATGGTGAGATGACTATATTGTGTATGGTAACCATGGTGATATGACTATATTGTGTAGGGTAACCATGGTGAGATGACTATATTGTGTAGGGTTGCTATGGTGAGATGACTATATTGTGTATGGTAACCATGGTGAGATGTCTATATTGTTTAGGTGTATTGTGTAGGGTTGCTATGGTGAGATGACTATATTGTGTATGGTAACCATGGTGATATGACTATATTGTGTAGGGTAACCATGGTGAGATGACTATATTGTGTAGGTGTATTGTGTAGGGTAACCCTGTTGAGATGACTATATTGTGTAGGGTAACCATGGTGAGATGACTTTTTTGTGTAGGTGTATTGTGTATGGTAACCATAGTAAGATGACTATATTGTGTAGGTGTATTGTGTAGGGTAACCCTGGTGAGATGACTATATTGTGTAGGGTAACCCTGTTGAGATGACTATATTGTGTAGGGTAACCATGGTGAGATGACTATATTGTGTATGGTAACCATGGTGAGATGACTATATTGTGTAGATGTATTGTGTAGGGTAACCATGGTGAGATGTCTATATTGTGTAGGTGTATTGTGTAGGGTAACCATGGTGAGAGGTCTATATTGTGTAGGTGTATTGTGTAGGGTAACCATGGTGAGATGACTATATTGTGTAGGGTAACCATGGTGAGATGACTCTATTGTGTAGGTTAACCATGGTGAGATGTCTATATTGGTTAAGGTAACCATGGTGAGATGACTATATTCTGTAGGTGTATTTATTATATTGGGAGGTGACTTTATCTTGTAGGTATAATGTATATGGTATCTAGGTTGTATTGGTGTTTGTTTAGGGTAACCATGGTGAAGATGTGAAGGAGTTGTACTATTACCTTGACAACACTCCAGACCACACATACATGAGGTCACTCTACCGTTACCCTATGGATGAGTTTCCCTATGTCAGCCTCCGCAACCAGAATGTGGCAAGGGAAGTAACAGACAGAGAATTTGACATCATGGATACAGGTAGAATATTTTACTTGTAGATTTTGATGAAAACTCTAGCTGTTTTATTTTGACATTTATCATATTTTCTGAATACCATTGTGTTTTGTGAAGAAGTTTTTTCTGTTAAACCAGAATGTCAATTTTGTTGCTCTGTACTTAAATTTAAAAACATTTCAAACTTGACAGAAAAGAAACAACCGTGAAATGGAATTCCTCCCTGAAATGTCAGCTGATGGTGTTGTTAGTCTGAAGCTAGCATAGCTCAAATATTGCATTAGGAAAATGGATGTAAAAAGTATTGACTTATGATACTTAAAAAGAAAAAAAGTTAGAAGGTTGTTCAAACTGATATACTATAATGCTATATATTACATCTATATTATAGCTGTAGCCTTGTAATTCTATTGTTTAATCTGTTAGAGTGATTCAAATATTTGTGATATTATTCTTTTCATGATATTGGTTCATACCCACTTTATCTGAGGAATGTCTTGTCAGAAACCTATGGCAAGTCACTCACATTTCACAAACTGTGTCTGTGAGCAGCTGTAGAGAAGTTAAAGTGTCTCACACTAAATCAGGTGCTGAGCCACAGTACAAAGTTATCTCCCTTCAGTCCACATATATCACTTTATGTACAAAGTCGTCTCCCTTTGTTCCCAATGCATTATTGCTATGATTAATACATTCTATCAGCGGGTATCTGTGAAAAAGGCAAAGTGTCTTGTACTGAAATAAGGTCTGATGCCGCAATATATACAACATTGTCTCCCTTTATTTCTATTGTGTCACTTTATCCCAACGGTATCTCATTAACACTGCCACACACAAAGTCAAATTTTTGTAATGAAACATTCACAATCTGGGGTGAACTGGTAGTTTAAACCCTTTTGATTCCTACATGCAGACACTGAATTTTATTTTCCAATAAAACTAGAAGACCACATGTACGGAATTAAAGATGGTTTCAAGTGACATTCAATAATACTCATTGTACACAATACTTAAGAAAACACAGCTTTATACACATGTACATAAAAACATTGTTCAAAGGCCAATGTTGAATTGCTTGGTATCAAGTTTTCAACAAAGACAAGATATTTGTGTGAATAATTATTTGTACATAGTAAATACAACAACATTTGTAAAAATTGAAAGTTTACACTGTAAATATAAGTCCAAATATTTATACCAAACTGAATTTTATCCTTCAATAAAATCAGCAAAAAGACACTTTAATCCTTGAATAATGTTCAGGGTGACTGAGTGTCACTTGCTGGACCGGGTTTTGTAACTCACTATGTTGTATACCTTTGTATCTAGAGTTATCCCCCTTTGTTCACTTGGTCTGATGATGTTTGTTTAAAGTTCCCATAAAGATATCATATTTTTGAAGTGAAAAACTTTAATCAGTTCCAGTCATTGTGCTATACAGCTTTCTATCTCAACATCTGAGACATGTAGATTTTGAGTAGAACTAGCTAACCTTTCTCAGATTTGGACTTAAATAGGAATAATTTAATCTTAAAGGCAGGATGAGTTGATATGCTAGTCTTATTGTCTGCATACATTAATCAATATTAAATGTTGAAACTCTGCAATGTTTATGTGAGATGAAATTACTTGTTTATCATGTCTTGCACATGCAGGTGTGTTTGACAAGAACCGTTACTGGGATGTGTATACAGAGTATGGAAAGGACACCAACGGCAGCCTTGTCTGTTCTTATACTCTCCATAACGGATCAGATAGTACTGCATCCATCTCCATTATACCACAGTTCTGGTACAGGTAAGGTCACATCTTACCTAGATACATTATATACATGCATATTCATCAGAGGTTTGCTGTATTATTCTGACAGTATACCTATTTCATAGTTTTGTGTATATACTCACATTATGGACTAACTTAGAGACGAAATGGTGTCACATATTTCAAATTACATGATTACATCACAATGGGGACACGTAAGGAAGATATATAATGAAAATTTAATTGTTTTCTGCAATATTTGCAAAATATTGGATCATGTAATGGATAAAATCACATACTTATTTCATACGTTACCTGATTGATGAACTTACCATATCTCCAATTCACTTTGACTCACCCAAGTTTTTTTTCTCAATATCATGAGGTAAACATATGTGTACAATGTTATCAGAAACACCTGGTGTAAGCAGTCTTTAAAAGAAGATGCCCGTCCTAAGATGTCACAGACTACACCTTTTGTCCTGGAGGCTGTTTATAGTCTAGGTAGGTTTACATCTCACTCATGGGAGTCTATTTGTACTTGATTTCGTTTTAAAACCTCTGCAGGTCATTGTAGAGCAACTGTCCATGAATACTCCATTAATTGCTGAATAAATTAACAGTCAAGTTTAATATTTTTCTTTAAGAGATTCCCTTCTCTAGCAGGTGTGCTTTATTTTTTGTGAGATTTTAATCTGCATTGAATTTCTTTGATGCTCTTAATCCACACGTTAACATGTTTACAAATTCCAAATAGTTTCAGTATAAATAGATTTCTGTGTATGATATTTTATTAAGTCTTATTTATGATTTTATGTTCTTTGATGCCACAAAGGATCGTTTGTGGTTAGGCTTGGTGTTGATGATGCAGAACGTCCTCCAGAAATAGTGTTTACTGAAAACGAGGATAAGTGTACATACCTCCAATCCAGCCTTAAAGAACAACAATATTACAAGGATGCCTTTCATCTATATGTTGTTAATGGTAAGTACAAGACATAACCAACGTTATCAGACAATAATCCCACGTCATGTAAGCAGCCCACACCTTTAGCAGTTTTAGTAGGGATGTAAACACATGCCTTGTATACTGTAAAATTAATTATTTTCTTTGTTGATTCCATGGGTACTCTTTATCCAGAACTTCATTGATCTTCAAAATGATAAACAGATTAAAATTAATGTGAAATTTTTGTATTTGTGGATTTCATAAATAAAATTTATCCACAAAATCAATGCCAACAAAAAAGAACTTTTCTGAAAAAACATGAAATTTGAGCCCAATGAAATATGTTCACCAAATCTCCCTACTGCAAGCCACAGGAATGTGTTTTGGTTCCTTCGACTTACTAAAGGATAAATATAGAATTTAAGTAGAATATGTTGATTTTAAGTCATGTCTTGTTTTCATTAGGTTCATCAGATTCAATCTGACTATATTTAGGTTCAGGGTTATGTATATGTTAAACAGGAAAGAAGGAGGCAATCAGGAGAGAGGGACCAACAACAAAGTGTGCAGCTGTATATCAGCTAACAGTGCCCCCTGGTGGTCACAAGAAGGTGTGCTGGGGGCTGTATCCAAAGGAAAACTGTAACACAAGCAATCTGTGGGATGTTTCAAAACATGTTCAGGATGTTATAAAACAGAGGTCTTTGGCAGCAAATGATTTTTATCAATTGGTTTGTATTTTTATATACCAAAAAATTACTTCACAATAAAATTTGCATCTCTATTTTCATTTTTGGGAAAGTTAAAGGGTAAATGTACAAAGTATAAACATAAAAAAATTAAATGAGAAAAGCTTCATTTGATTTAGTTGTATAAAGTTCACTGTAGTCTACACTTCTCCTTAACAAAATTGCATGTAGTAGGATTATAGTAAGGACAGTAGACTATACAGGGTATACTGACTATCAGACAAGAAACCCTGTATCACATTGAACTTAAAGACTGAATCTTTCTGTTATTAATGTAGATGTTTCCTGATGGCTGGGATAAAGAGTGGTCAGTGGTGGCCAGACAAGCCTGTGCTGGACTTCTCTGGCACAAACAGTACTACAGCTACAACGTCAAAGATTGGATTGACAAAGTCCACAAGAATGACAGGCAAGATGCAGGGTGCTGTGGCGCATTTAGAAAAAAGAGGAACCCTTCCACGATCAGAAATAACCAATGGAAACATTTCAACGCTCATGATATCATATCTGTACCTGATAAATGGGAGTTTCCTTGGGTAAGAAGACATTGTGTAGACCATGGTACTGTAAAGTATTGCTATTTGCGATACTACACTGTTGGATCTGTTTAACACTGTACATTTATGAAAAGAAGGGTACATAATACTATTACCGGAACTTTCCATATATGAGTACTGATTGATAAGTTGTGAGCCTCATATTTAAGGGTTTGATGGCAGACATAGTGCAATATTTTTCATCATACTCCCTTACAGTATCTATACACTTTTGCCGGCGATGTTTAAGGGCCTCAATATCACTTTTAAAGAAGTTATTTTCTCGACAAATCAGACAGTCCTCCACTGCATATATGACGTCATCATCTGACCAAAAGTTGGTACAGGAAACGGCCTTTTTTTCAATTGTGGAAATAAATGAATGTCTGATGGAGCAAGATCAGGTGAATAAAGCAGATGCTCAATCAATTCAAAGCCACAATCGTTAATGGCAGCCAGGGCACACCTGGTGTGCTTCTGACCAACGGTCAGAAGTCTTAGCACCCAGTGGGCTGAGAGCTTGTAAGAATTGAATGTACTCTTTCCTATAAAATCCCAATTATACTGGTTATATATCTCTCTGTAACTTGCCTGTCAGCCATAACAATATCATGGACTTTATCGACCATTTCTGGGGTTGCAATAGTGACAGGCCTTCCAGGACAGTCATCATCCCAAAGGCTCTTCTTGCCACACTTAAATTCCACTGCCCACCTTGTGTTTGTAGCATATGAAGGAGCATCATTCCCTTGTGTTGCTACCATTTCAGTATGGATATCCTTAGGTGTTGGACATTTCTTATGAAAATACTAAATAACTGCTTTTTCAATGATTTTGTGCATTTTGCAAAAATCACTTGCCTTGTTTACTTACGAGTGCTACCTCTTCGACATAAACTGACCAAATGGCACAAGTCTTCTGATACATAGCCTCAAATAGTCCAAGAATAGTAGAGCTAAATAAAGACATCCCTGCTTGACTTCTTCAACACAAGGCTCACCACTTATCAATCAGCCCTCGTATAGAACTACCATTAGGAACTTGTACATGATTTTTTTATTTTTGTTGTTGTCCAGTTTGCTCCATGGGATACAGCCTTTCAGATGATTCCGCTGATGAGACTTGACTCAGACTTTGCGAAAGACCAGCTGCTGTTATTACTATCTGACCGTTTTCTCCATCCGTCCGGACAGGTAACTTTTTACAGATTGTCATGTGCATTAACCCTGTGCGTGGTGTGCAATCAATGATAACTTGTTGTGTCCAGGCTTACTACATATTGAGTTTTTATTTAATGATCAATTTTAGCTTTCGGATGTTCCTTGAGTTAATGGTATGTTATTGATATCATGTTTGGATGTTGGCAATATCTTTTTAGCCCTCCATTATCATTCCAGGATGTTCAGGCCACCATCTTGGGTTTTAACAGTACTAGTATTTTATCACTCTTTTTGGAGCTTTGTATAATGGATGATTTTCAGATTTCACATGAAGGTTCCCCTTGGGTTCTAGTTGTAAATTCAGCAATTTTGGACTTCTTGGAAAAAACAAAATGGCCAACAAGTGGCCATCTTGAATTTCGAAAATTACTTTTTAACATTATGATTTTTAAGATATTATTTCTTTAGAATTACAGGACAGATATTTCTCATTTTCATATGAATATTCCCCTTGGCCCCTAGTTGTGCATTGTCCTGTTTTTTGGCTGATCAAAGAAATAAGATGCAAATGGCTGCCATATCGCCCTGATTTGAAATTGCAAGTTTGTTAATGCTAGTTTATAAGAAACATTGGATGTTTGCTTCTCAAATTTCATACAAACATTCCCCTTAGGCCCTAGTTATGCCCTTTTTATTTAAAAAGGGATCAGAAAAACAAAATGGCTGACAGTCAGACGTCTTCAGTTTTGACAATGAACGTTTGTTATCACTCCTTCTTTAAAAGTAGTGGATTGGTGTTTCTCAAATTTCTTATATAGGTTCCCCTAGTTTTACACTTTCGATTTTGGGACAAAGCAAAATGGCAGACATGGGGCCATCTTTGATTTTTATAATAAAAGTTTGTTTAACAGCATTCCATAAGAAGTACTGGATATACATTTCTCAAATTTTCATTAGAACATAGCTCTTTTAAGACCAGAATATGAAGTTAAAGCAGTACACTGTGGAGAAACTTGGGCAAGATACAGTTTTGGTACCTATAATGTTACTTGCTAATATCTGAAATTTAAGTTTTAGTTTTCAGTTACATTTTGTAACAAGGAGAGGTACTAAGTAACAAGATACAGAACTGTATATCTTGTCCTGTTCACATGAGAGTGAGAAAAGTACATTATAAATTGTTCCTCCACTATTGTCTGTTTCAGATGCCAGGATGTGAATATGAGTTTAGTGACATGAATCCCCCGATTCAGGCTTGGTCAGTGCTCAAGGTGTACAAACAAGGTGGATCAAAGGACACAGACTTCCTGATCAAAGCCTTCCAGAAGCTAAGCCTGAACTACCAATGGTATGTATGACAGGTTCATAAGCCATACATACAACAAGTTCATTAGTCAGGGCCTTCCTGTGACTCAGCCTGAACTACTGATGGTACATACAACAAGTTCATTAGTCAGGGCCTTCCTGTGACTCAGCCTGAACTACTGATGGTACATACAACAAGTTCATTAGTCAGGGCCTTCTTGTGACTCAGTCTGAACTACTGATGGTACATACAACAAGTTCATTAGTCAGGGCCTTCCTGTGACTCAGCCTGAACTTCTGATGGTATGTGTGTCAGGTTAATGATTCAGGGCCTTCCTATGACTCAGCCTGAACTATCACTTGTGGCTCAGCCCGACTTACCATTGGGATATGTGATAGATTTATGATAAGCCAGGAATTTCCTTTGGCTTAGTCTGATTATCACTAATAGGTAAGACTGGTTGATTAGGAAATTGTGGCATTTTGGTGTCTGCTAATCTAACATCCAATGCCTTTGAGTGGCCAGAACTACAGACCTAGGTTATAGAGCAATGTTACCCTGTAGTAACAGATGTCCATATCTTCCTCCAATATAGACAGAAATTAACCTTAATTTATCTTGTGATATTGTCTGGGTTTGGAAGCTGATTCTTTTCCTTGAACTTGTTTTGATAAATTGCAATTAAATATTCAATAATACTAGAACAGTGGGAAGGACTCCATGGTACATGGGTTTTACTATTTTTAATTTTCCCAGGATGTTGACGGAGAAGTGCTTGTGGAACCAATACATATTCCATGGAGGGTTCTTGGGCCTCGATAACATCAGTGCTATAAATAGATCAGCACCCACACCTGTTGACACAGAAATGGAACAGGTAAGCAGTTGTTGTTTGTTAATGACTTATGTTCCTTTTAGGAAAAATAAGAACATTAATTTATTACTATTGTATCTATATCTACAACAAGTTGTAATAATAAAATGTGAATTATGGCTCTGATCGCAGAGCCAGTATACCCATTCAGTAACTTAAGTGGTAAATACAGATTGATGCACATATCAAGAAAGTTTTTAGCTGTGACACCATTTTTAAGGATGTGATGAAAGGGTTGTCAATCATCTGTCAATCTGTGATCATTAATCCCTCTCCAGAACTACAACGCCTTGATAGTTGATATTCCTGTGTAAGTTGAGGAGAGAAGGGGCTTTCTATTTTCATTATAAGGATTATCTATTTTATAGGTCATAGGGGTCATATATGTTTGAATTTCAAAAATATTGTCTAATTTTGCTGAAATTTTATATATACCCCCCTACCCCTGGTAATTGTTATGAAAAATGGTAATTATCTGGTATTAATTTTCAAAACATATGAGGTTATTTGGTTGCCATGGTAATCTGATAAGACATTGAAACAGAAATATTATGGGCCATCTGTAGATGTGCATACATTTTCTTGTTTTTAATTTTTTTTTTATATGTAATTTTGGTTGCCATCAGATGAGCATAAGATTAATGAACCAAAGGACACAAGTTTGAATCCTAGCAGAGATATTGGAAAAAATAATGACCTCTGTTATGTTGGCACCTATGTAGGGATTCAGGAATAATACTTAACATTACTGTCACAAGTATCGCTATAGTCCCTGGAAACCTGAGGTCAAGTTAGTTCTTTACTGGAAGGGGAGAACAGTAAGTAACCCTGGAAAATACTAGCTGCAATGTACTAGTAAGCCATAGGTCCTTGGTTCAAATCCTAATGGAGGTGAGATGAATGATGAGCTCTGTTACATCAGCATTATCAGACATATGGCATGCAATACTACCTGAATCTTTTATAACTTTATTTTAGGGATTAAATTACAAGTTTGTGTCAGTGTTTTGTAAAATAGTGGTAAGATAATGTGTATCACTTAGGGGTGACAGTTAGGGGGGGACAGTTAGGGGGGACAGTTAGGGGTGACAGTTAGGGGGAACAGTTAGGGGTGACAGTTAGGGGGGACAGTTAGGGGGGACAGTTAGGGGGACACTTATGAGGCTGAGAATGACTGTGTAAATATGATCTTGGAGAAATCTTACAGCAGGTTATCATACAGAGGCCTTTCTGGTTCTGATTTACAATCAGTACTGCCATACTAGGTCATTTACACTGAAACAATGTCATGTTATGTCACTTACTCCCTCATTGTATCATCTTCAGGCAGACGCTACTGGCTGGATGGCATTATTTGCCCTTAATATGATGGAGATGGCCCTGACACTAGGATACACAGATTCAGCTATATCACATCTCATGGATTTTGTTAAGGTGTTTCAGGCCTTAAACTTAGATATTAGGTGTGGAGGTAGGTGGCATAAGATGGCTGGAGAGTTCCACAAAAATTTATATCCAGACGGAAATAATTATGATGTACTTGATATTGTTATTTTCATCCATTTTGGATGGCTTAAAATGGCTTCCCAAGCAGAAGGCAAGACAAATATCAAATATACAGCTGTATAAATCTAACAGCATAGATAATGAATTTTGTCCCATGAAGAATTAGCCCTTATTTATGAGCCCAACATCATCAGATAGTTGGATATCCAAATCACCCTATGTACATTAGTCACATCTATTTCCTTAGAAATACTGGATGTTTCTTTCTAAAATTTCATGTGCAGGTGCCCCTTGGTCCTTAGTTGTGCCCTTTGGATTTTGGGAGGGATCAGAAACGTAGAGTGGCCAATAAGATTATTATCAATATATTGTAAGAGGAATTTTGAAATACGTATAATTAAGAGCTAAATCAGAAAAGAACAAAAGAGAAAAGAAGTAAAGAGATTCAAATAAAAAAAAATAAAGATCAAAAGATGGTGGGTGCCAAGATCCCTCTGGGATCTTTTGTCTTCATGGAAGAATGTTTTATTTTAGATGTCTCACTGTTGATTTATATATATTTTGTGTTGTTCACAGTTCCTGTCAAATAAAACTGGCTATGCTCTAGATAGTATTCTGTATATATTCCAGTACTCTTGTCCATTGTCTTTATAATGTGACCACATAGGGTGTCATGCTGGAGGGCTTCATCAGTACACTTTTGTGTGATAGCACTATGAATCAGCTAGTTCCTCACCATCACACAGAGGATTACATGAACAACACAGCCTCCCAGCTACAAATCCTCACCATCACACAGAGGATTACATGAACAACACAGCCTCCCAGCTGCAAATCCTCACCATCACACAGAGGATTACATGAACAACACAGCCTCCCAGCTACAAATCCTCACCATCACACAGAGGATTACATGAACAACACAGCCTCCCAGCTGCAAATCCTCACCATCACACAGAGGCTTACATGAACAACACAGCCTCCCAGCTGTCTTCCAGACAAAGAACATACCAATGTACTATGAAAAAGGTTAATTTTGGTTGGGGTTTTATTTTCATATTTTTTGTTGGTCTGTGGACTTTATATGTTAACAAATGGCCAAAGATTATCATAAAGTTAATTATGGATTTCATGAGTACATTGGTACAATCTTTCAACAAAATCAAGAACCAACAAAAAATATTTTAGAAAAGATATTTGATTTTACTGGAGTGTTTGGTATAAAACCAGTTACCTCCCTTTGACCATGGCTGAGGATTTAAGGGCCTTCATATTACACATTTTATACAATAACTTTTGTCAATCACCTTTGCAGTGGAATATAGACAAACAAACTTTAAATTGACCGTTGAAATATGAGAGAATTTTTCAGGAATGTGGTGATATAATGTGGACTGATACAGATACTGCACACAACAAGAACTTCCCATTTTATTTGAACATGAAGAATGTGTGTGGTGTTGTCTCTGGAACAGAAATCTGGTATTCAAGTCATACTTACTGCTCTTTATACATCATTGAGGATTTGTTTTAACTCTTCGTTTATTTCCTACAGGTTTGTGGCATGATGAAGACAAATTTTATTATGATGTGTTATCTAAGAAGGGTCAGAGGTCAGCGATACAGCTTCGGTCATTGGTCGGCCTTGTACCATTGGTAGCCTGTACTGTGATTGATCAGTTAAATACAATAAGGGACCAACTTTTCTATATACAACTGGAGCAGCTCTGCAAAGAACACTCCAATCATGTGGGTTAACACCTGACTTATTTACACCACTCTTGTAACACTGAGCTTCATTTCCAAGAAACTTTTGTAAAATATCTACAGAACAGCAATTTGAATATCAGATTTATAATGGATGTTCATTATTCAAACAGTAACAATACTCTATGTACAAGATATGTAATCAATGTCAAATGTGTACCTGTTTTAGATATGGCGATTGAAGGATGGCAGGTTTGCTCTGTCTGCAGTCCCAAACATGCGACTGGAACATATCCTACACTACCTCACGGATGAGAAGGAATTCCTATCACAGTATGGAGTTCGCTCCCTTTCTAAGGTCAGCTGCACATTTTGGTATAGTTTTTTAGCCACTAAGTATAAAATTAAACTTCTGAATGTTTTATTTATGAAATCTCCGTCATGTGTGTATTGTGTCAGCTTAGAAAAATAATTGTGTATATCAGCTTATTGTTTATTACATAAGTAAGACTTTACTGATATGTCTGTTTTGTTTACTTAGTATTACTGGGACAACCCATACGAATTCCATCCTGGAGACAGTCCAGTTAAATATAATCCAGGCGAGTCCACCTCAGAAATGTTTGGAGGCAACAGTAACTGGAGAGGGCCAATCTGGCTCTGTAGTAAGTATATTAAATATTGTCTTATAAATAAATGTATATATGGGTATATAGAGAGGTACCAAGTGTACTGGGAGTGTCAAAGACCTGGGTATATGTATATATATAGAGAAATATCAAGTGTACTACCCGGATGTCTAGAGGCAAACCCTACTTCATAATTCATATTAAGAAAGATATCAAGTGTTCTTAAGATATGACCTTTAACCTTTACCAATTTCAGTGAACTATATATTGGTGGAGGCCCTAGAGATGCACCATACTTTGTGTGATGGCAGTATGACAGTTCGTGTTACCTCTGGGCAGACATTAGACCTACAGGCTATTGCCATGGAGATTTGTAATAGGATTGTTGCTTTGTTTATGCCAAGAGATGGAAAAAGACCACTGCATGGTAACTAAGGCAATGTCTGTCACCTGTCTGTGAAAAGTAAAATATCACTTTCTCTTTTTTTGTTTCACCACCTGCAGTGACACTTTTAAAATTAATATCATCAAAACATGAAATCACTAAATATTTTACTTTTTAGTTGCTTTGATATAGCCTAATCAAAACCTGATTTGACTTACCAGAGTAACAGAGATGAAAGACAATCTGATGTTTTACTATGTCCTTACAGGAGAAGATTTAAAGTACACTACTGATCCTCTGTGGAAGGACCTGATTCTCTTCTATGAATACTTTCATGCTGACACAGGCAGAGGGTGTGGGGCAAGGTAAGTGACAAGGATTACCATGGTGATATAGGTAGAGGGTGTGGGGCAAGGTTAGTGACAAAGATTATCATGGTGATACAGGCAGAGGGTGTGGGGCAAGGTAAGTGACAAGGATTACCATGGTGATATAGGTAGAGGGTGTGGGCCAAGGTTAGTGACAAAGATTACCATGGTGATGCAGGTAGAGAGTGTGGGGCATGGTAAGTGACAAGGATTACCATGGTGATATAGGTAGAGGGTGTGGGGCAAGGTAAGTGACAAGGATTACCATGGTGATATAGGTAGAGGGTGTGGGGCAAGGTTAGTGACAAAGATTACCATGGTGATACAGGTAGAGAGTGTGGGGCATGGTAAGTGACAAGGATTACCATGGTGATACAGGTAGAGGGTGTGGGGCAAGGTAAGTGACAAAGATCACCACGGTGATACAGGTAAAGGATGTGGGGTAAGGTAAGTACAAGGATTACCACGGTGATACAGGTAGAGGGTAAGGGGCAAGGTAAGTGACAAGGATTACCATGGTGATATAGGTAGAGGGTGTGGGGCAAGATACGTGACAAGGATTACCATGGAGATACAGGTAGAGGGTGTGAGGCAAGGTAAGTGACAAGGATTACCATGGTGATATAGGTAGAGGGTGTGATGCAAGGTAAGTGACAAGGATTAACATGGTGATACAGGTAGAGGGTGTGGGGCAAGGTAAGTAACAAAGATTACCACAGTGATACAGGTAAAGGGTGTGGGCCAAGGTACGTGACAAGGATTACCATGGTGATACATGTAGAGGGTATGGGGCAAGGTAAGTGACAAGGATTACCATGGTGATACAGGAAGAGGGTGTGGGGCAAGGTACGTGACAAGGATTACCATGGTGATATAGGAAGAGGGTGAGGGGCAAGGTACGTGACAAGGATTACCATGGTGATACAGGCAGAGGGTGTGGGGCAAGGTAAGTGACAAGGATTACCATGGTGATACAGGTAAGTGTGGCTTAAGGTAAGTGACAAGGATTACCATGATGATACAGATAGGTTTGGCTAAAGGTAAGTGGGTTACCATGGAAAACAAGAAGAGGATGTTGAGCATGGAAAGATTATTTAAGTTACTAATGGGCTAGAAACATTCTTTACATTCTCTGGAAATAATGACATGTTACTTGTTTTCAGCTAACAATACAAGGGTTTAAGTTTCTTTTCTCTTTTTTTTTAGTCATCAAACTGGATGGACATCATTAATCATTGAATTCTTCTACAAGGTCTTAAACAAGTGAAGAGCTGAAGTGGTCAAGGAAAGATATGTAATATTAGCCACATAAATAGCAGGAAAGTGTTACATCGTAATGTATCATCATGATCACTGTTGAAAGATGTAGGATGTGAACTTGAGTGACAGAATCTGGTTACCAAACACTTGTGACAGTGCATTTATCTGAAGTATTCCAACAGGTGCTGACCCTGCTACAGGGAGATACGTGGTGGAACCGAGATCTGGTAGGATAGGCTGTCCAGTGAGAATGGTAATGAGATGAGACAAATTAACACCATTATGACTGGATAATGGATTAAAACTTACAAATTGACCTCATCCTGATTTTCTGTTGAATTCCTTCTGTCTAGAGCTGTGTTGTCCATTTAGAATGAATTCCTCTAGACCTGAATTTGACTTTGTCTACCTGTATGTTTAATGTTCAGAGAGACAATACCATGAACAAGGGGTTAGGTATCACAGTTTTGTATTGATCGATGCCAAAAGCTTATTTGAAGAACATACAAGCTGTAGTAATATTGTAAGGGTAGTGTGTAGATTTTCCTGTCATTATTTTTCATAAGGAAATTCCTGCTTAAGTTATGTCCTTTTTAAGACTAATGCAACACTGAGCCTAAACAATGAGTTTAATGTGAGAGCAAAAGGAACCCAGAGCGAATGTTTCCCTGTATATACATGTATACCATGTACCCAATTCAAACAATATATTCAATCAACACTCAACAATTTAACATATATATTTAGTACATATGGGATGAGAAAACAAGCTTAAAGCTGACATTAATTCCTGTAGCTAATTTAATTGCTGGAATTCATGATATTAATTCATGAATAATTGAAGTATATAAACAAATCTTGGAGGAGAGATATGATGTTTCTAACTAGGCATCATCCAAGATTGAGCATTTGTTGCATTTCAATTGATAAACTTAATGACAACACTCAACCCAACACTTGGAGATTACTATGACCCAAATACTCGCAGTGTAACCTTAACCCTGAATTCACTATGACCCCAGTGCCTTCAGTGAACCCTAACTTCTAAGTTCACTATGACCCCAATGCATAATATTAACCCCGACTCCTGAGTTCTCTATGATCCAAATGCCTACAGTGAATCCTAACACCCGAGTTCAGTATGATCCATATGCCAACAATTAACCCTGACTCCTGAGTTCATTATGACCCCAATACCTATAGTGAACCATAACCCCGGAGTTCACTGACCCACATGCCTAGTGAACCCTGACCCCTGAGTTCACTATGACCCTAATGCCTACAGTGAACTCTAACCTTTGAGTGTATCAGAGTATGTCTTGTCCCATACATAAACAACACAACAAGAGCTGTATATTTCTGACTTTATTTCAGTTTCTCCACAGTATCACCATGGAATGGAGGATAAGTTAATATTGCATTTTGTGACACAGAAGTGCCATAATAATAATAATAATAATAATAAAGAAATAATTCTTAGTTTAATAACGACTTACGTTGACAACACATGGTAGTATCATGTGCTGAAAAATATTAACAATGACATAATGTATTGTCTACAATGATGATCAGAGCAGCACTTACATTGCTACAGTATAACTGCACAAATTGTTCTACCTAGAGGAGGATTCTCACTCGTCGTATTTACTATTTCTGATTAAAGATTATGAGTTAGCAGTGATTTTACCTGTCCTTCCATTCAATTGATGTATGGCTTCACTACTATTACTGTTGTCTTCTACCAAATCCTTCCAACTTTCCATAGAAAATTTAAATGATATACTTCACTAATGTTTATCAGAATTACAATAATGAACACGTTGGCATTTAGAAATGTTTCGCACTTGATTAGAGCAATGAACATAATGTTCATTTATGTTGTTGATCTATTGAACACACAGGTGTTCACAGGTAATGTCTCCCTTTCAATCATTCAAACTTCTTTCCTTATTCTCCTACAACAGTTATAGAGCAAAGAAACACAGGACATGTTATACACTTACAAACATTCACCATACACAAGACTTATAGCCATTGAATTTTACTGACCTATATTTAACAGGGGCAAATAACCACAGTGTAATACAGCATATACATCATAGTTTGTCAAGGGCAGATAACTGCATGGATAATACATCATGAAGAGATAAAGGGAAGATAACCCTACCTGGTGAACCAGGAATAGTTATTTAGAAACCTACCCATAAGTGTCAAGGGCACAGCGAACAGCAGATAATTACATATTCATTATTCTGTTAGAGCAGAAAACTTGTGACAAGAGAACAAGGGGCAAGTAACTAATTAAATGCCCATAAGTAAAATAAAATACAAAAAGAACAGTAAAACACATATAGAAACTGGTGTCTGCTCTAACTGTACAAACTCCTTATCATGAGGTAGTAATAACATTAAATACACGATTGTCTCGTTACTCTGGCACAACTAATTGGTCTAATTAGTAATCAGTTTTCACTGTACATGTTTAACTTAAGCCTGCCCTTCTCAAGACCAGGAGTATTTTAACAGGTGTGGAAAAGGAAAGGATTTTTATCTTTATTTCTAAAGCATAACCAAATATCTTCCCATTGTCATATGCATTAAATACAATTACATACACGCGACCTTCATACAATCAGGATGCAAAAAAACATCATTTCTAAAGTCAAGACTTAAATAAAACCATTGTGACCTTTCATTTATCATTACAGAGGTTCTATATCCAGTCCAGCAGTACACAGAAAAGTTTCTTTCTTCGTTTAAATCATCAAAGATTATTGGAATCAACACCAATATGTATGAAGAGATGACTTAATTTAATGTGTGTAAAAGGGGAGATAATAAAAGTAGAACAAACTTAAATAGCTTGAGATAAAACAATGATAAAAGAAAACATTGATCAGGATTATAAATTTGGTTACATAGTTTACTTCTGATTATATGCTACAATGTTTTAAGAAAGAATATTTCTAATGATAGATAATTTTGAAACAATGCAAATGGCTGACACACATTATAGGAGAGCTAGGGAAATCAAGTGTTGAAATCTTTGTCCTCTCACCACTGAAAAATGTATAATTGAACCCCCATCTTAGCTACATTTACCCAATCTGAAATGTTTTACAAATACAGAATTTATATAATCTCTTTTGTAATTGGGTGATCAAGGAAGACACCTTGGTGTCTATATATATCTATTGACTGGCCATTAGAAACAAAAATGAAAAATTCCACTGGGCCTGTATTGCTCACCTGTATTAATCTAGTGTTGTTCAAGTTCTGTGAAATTTGATATGGGTATTTAAAATTCACTAAAAGAACCTTTATTCAGAAGATTTCAATAAAATTCAGCTGAAGATCTTGTTGAAGTATTTGATCCATGTCATTTTCCTATACCTAATATATAGAAAACCATATATCCTAAACACGACCTGTCATGACCTCCTATGACCTTACAAGCTGGTCAAGGCCATATATATGAACAAACTTGATAGTTCCTCATATCTGAATGCCACATGTTGAATATCATGACTCCATGCATTTGGAGTTATTCAGAAGATTTTAACACATATGACTTGTGATCTGGAGTGCGGTTATCATTTTAACAACAACGCTTCATTATGTTAACCTGCAAAGCTTAGTCATTCAATTTACCAATAACAAACCAGGCAACCATGCTTATTGTATAACTTGACCCCTGCTGAAAGTGCCTCAACATCATTACATGACTGGGCAAATATGCCTCTGGATCCCCTAGCTACTATGAGAAAGTTTTATACATATTTTTACACACTGTAATAATTGAAGTTCAAACTTTATAGACCTTCATCCCAGCATTATACTGGCCTTATATGATGATTCAATGTCACTTATACATAATATGTCATACACGATAAACAGGATGCTGGATAGACAATGGACATTACACAATGGTGTAAGACCACTTACCACTTCAGGCAGGTAAGCTTAGATCACTTACCCTTAAGACTGGTGAGCTAATATAAAAACCCCTCAGTCAGGCAGATCAGCTGAAATCACATACCTTTCAGACAGGTGATCTATACATTTGGTAATTTAATACAGAAGCCATTTAGTAATCACTCAATCACACAAATTAAATTTTCCATTCACTCTTTCTCACACTTGTAAGGACTTAATAGTTCATATATAGCACCATAATTGACACATGATCTGTGTTACATCATTCCTCAGAACGAATCTGAAAATGTCCAGTCAGTGATCCAAGTATACCTGTTACAAGTCGTTACAATGACTTTTCTTAAGGCATGCCAATGATTGTGAGCTATCAATTTTCCTTGATTGAACGATTTCTGGCCTTGACCTTTGATTAAATAAATTCTGACCTTGACCCTTGACTGAACATTTTCTGACCTTGATCCTTGATTGAACATTTTCAATTGGAAAATCGGAACAAGCCTTCAAACTGTCCTTTCAAACTGATGAACAAGATATTTTTATGCCTTGTGTTTCCTAGTCTGACTCAACAAAAATCTCCATCATTAGATGATTAGAGCTGCAAGTTTTTCATAATTTCAAAGTGTAAATAGATTTTTACAAATTTTCTTATATTACTCATGTAAATTTGTCAATGAGCAAATAAAAATTATTATAATAAAGAAATGGAAAAACAACTTGAATTAAGAGTTTTTCATTATTTGGTACTTTACAGAGGACTCAGTTCACCCATTAGCCAACAACCCAAAGAAAATGTTTCTTGAAGTTGAAGGTTAAAGATTGAAACATACACATTTTGCAGTATTTTAGTATGAATATTAACACTGGGTACAAATGATCTGTTCGGGTGAATGTTTCCCTGTATACAGTAATGAGAGAAGATTTCTCGCAGATAATCAAACCAACTGATTCAAATAACAGAAAAAGGAAAAGATCTTTAACTAACTGAAGATTTGAAACAAAATCACTTATATAATGCATATTCACAGAAATAAAGAAAACGTTAGCCCTGAATACTGAAAGAACTGTCACAGGTGCTGTACATGGAAGATGAGTTGCTAGGAGGGACACATGGAGATGAATGCCATGTCTGTCACAAATATTTGTGAAGTCAATTACACAGCATTTACCGAGTTGTAATGGTCTTGGTCATCAAGTGGAACAGTCAAGTACTCGCCTGGAAAAAAAAATCAGCCTTTAAAAAAATGTATTCTAATATCGATTAAAGATCATGCTTTTTTTAACATCATTATTTTTAAAATAACTTTTCAAACACTTTTGACCACTAACAATCACATTTATTGAAAACTCAAGCCTCAAATTCCCTCTCTTATAACACCCTGTAAACAGGAAAAGTAAACTTATATAATAAATAGATAATAATGAAATACTACTTATTCTATTAATATAATTAGTATACCCTTACTTCTAGCCCTACCTTCTTCTGAGTAAACCACCATGGATGGGTGAGAAGCAGCCTCGTTGCTTTGACAACTATCACATGTCTGTTGCCAGGGGCAATACCCATGAGCCTCTGGAAACATGTCTCTAGGAGAGAGAAGGCGTGTAAGTCTCCTGCTAATGATGCTGAAATCCAACTGTTTAGTAACTGGTCGAGGGACTAATGGAGGAAACCTGTTGATTTGTGAAGTTCTAGACTCCTCAAGCTCCTGGCTATCATTAAAGGGAATATTTGGTTTTCCAGCTATTAGTAAAGGTGACTGTGAGGAATCTCCTTCGGAGCTATATAATTCATCTTTTTGCCAAAAACTTGTGTCTTTATCACATGATTGTTTGTGCACCATCACGATGCCGGCCCTAGCCTCAGACTCCGCCTCTCTAACATCAGGGTTTTTGTGTCTCTCAGGTAAAGGTCGTCCATAATTGTCCTTTACTATAACATGACTAGTATCTGAACAAACATCAACACAGCGTGAGGTATCATTCTCACTGGCCAACATACTGGAGTTATCTCCCCTTGCACACATTTTCACTGTTTCCTGACTGCTAGCACAGTTTTCACACAAAATTTCCTTAGACGAATGTACACTATCACACCCACTGAGCTCACTAAGGTTGAGTGAAGACTCACTATTACATATACACTGACTTTCTGCATTAAAAGAGTTTTTTTCACAATAAACTTGATTTCCATGATTTAACTCCCCTGAACACAATTTACAGTCACAAAATTCTGCAGTGTTTGTATGCATTGTAATGTCTGGTAAGGAGTTATGGTCAGAACTGCCATCGGTACACATTTGGTCTGGTGCTCCTCCCCAGAAAATATTGGATTCACAGCTGCTGGCATCACTATTGTCACGCATGTCACTGCTGCCGTACGTGCTGTGGTTACTGTCCAGAATGTTCCGACAAAGCTCACACTCGAGGCTACTACTACTGGGATTTCTGTCTGACCCACTACTACTACAGCTTCCATACTGAGCGGTCACACTCAGGTCCCGCCCACTTCCATTGTATTCCGGCTCACTCTCACATACAAAAGGCCGTGGGTATTTGCAACGTCTTGATGTGTGACCAGTATAGAAAGGTGCAACGTGATAAGACATTGTCTTTGTGTGACGTCTACACTGCTCTGTCACACCTCCTCCTCGACCATATACAGACATACATTGTGAGTAAGATATCCCTGAGTTATATATACTTGTAGTCACATAGGGGGCGCTACTGTACCCTAACCTGTGAGTGGAATGATACTGTGTGTGGGAGTGCGAGGAGTTACAACATGGAGCTACAGCCTGAGCATAGGGCACATTCTGGTAGAGTTCACTGGACCCTGGTGGTCGTTTTCCATGGCCTCCTGAAAAGTTTGGATGAAACTCTCTTAAATATGAACTACATGATGACGGTGATGATCCAAGAGTTCCCTCACAAGATGGACAGCCATGATGAAGCAGCCGTCTTGCTGAACGGGAGTCTCTGCTGGGATGAACATAATGAAGGTATTCAGTGTGTGAAAGTTGTTGATATGCTGAAGTGTTACTGTTATGCACCTCATACGAACTGTTTCGAGGGATATCATACTGTCCTTCATGTCTACTTGGCCTTGAACTAGACTGAGTTCTAGGTTCATTCCTCACTGGCTCCTCCTGGTCCACAGAACTTTCTGGCTGAGCTGTAATAACACGATATCAACTTTCATTTTGACCCTACTAATAAAAATGATTTCTGTCAATCTGTACATTTCTTATTCTGGTAAATCCACAGCACTATCACAGAAGTAGCTACAATAACTACTAATTTTTTTTTTCAATTTGCAAAATGCTTAAAACATGAAAATCTTCTAACAGTAAACTTCCTTGAGGTTTCTCCCTTCATTTTCATTTCTTACTATTTTCCATTAAAAAATTAAATATTCAAACACATTATTTTTTATTTTCATCCTGTTTGTTTTGAAAAATCATCATCATAAAAACTCAACAGTCTAAACTGTAACATCGCATACATACCAACAATTTTTCATTGTATACCTACCATTAATCTTATATCATAAACCTGCCGACAATATTACAGTTCACCTAGACATGTTTTGTCATAAACCTGCAGACAATATTCTATAGTTTACCCATGGACAATCGCATATTGTAAACCTGCTAACAATATTCTATAGTTTATCTACAGACATAATTTATTGTAAACCTGCTGACAATATTCTATAGTTCACCTACAGACATAATTTATTGTAAACCTGCTGACAATATTCTATAGTTCACCTACAGACATAATTTATTGTAAACCTGCTGACAATATTCTATAGTTCACCTACAGACATAATTTATTGTAAACCTGCTGACAATATTCTATAGTTCACCTACAGACATAATTTATTGTAAACCTGCTGACAATATTCTATAGTTCACCTACAGACATAATTTATTGTAAACCTGCTGACAATATTCTATAGTTCACCTACAGACATAATTTATTGTAAACCTGCTGACAATATTCTATAGTTCACCTACAGACATAATTTATTGTAAACCTGCTGACAATATTCTATAGTTCACCTACAGACATAATTTATTGTAAACCTGCTGACAATATTCTATAGTTCACCTACAGACATAATTTATTGTAAACCTGCTGACAATATTCTATAGTTCACCTACAGACATAATTTATTGTAAACCTGCTGACAATATTCTATAGTTCACCTACAGACATAATTTATTGTAAACCTGCTGACAATATTCTATAGTTCACCTACAGACATAATTTATTGTAAACCTGCTGACAATATTCTATAGTTCACCTACAGACATAATTTATTGTAAACCTGCTGACAATATTCTATAGTTAAACCTGCTGACAATATTCTATAGTTCACCTACAGACATAATTTATCGTAAACCTGCTGACAATATTCTATAGTTCACCTACAGACATAATTAATCATAAACCTGCCAATATTATTTTACAGTTCACCTATGGACGATGGTTTATCATATACCTACCAACAATATTGAAGAGACAAAGTGGACATGTTCTGTGTGTGACTAACCACGGGTCAACACAGAGACGATGAAACTCATGGGAACATGGCAACACTCGTAGGATCTACAACGAAATGGCAGGTACCAGTATAAGATTTGGCAAACACATGTATGAATTTGTCACTGTACAGGAACAGTTTATTAAGGTAGCATTCACTTTATGTGTACATAAGTGCCTCATACATGTGACAAGATATTTGATTACTTTTGAGAAAGGAATTAATAAAATAAAAAAAACCTTGCTTTACATTACATAAACAATTCACCATCAACAGTTTGGGGTTGTTTACATAACAAACATCACTCAATAAATGATTCATCAATATTTCCGATCAGAAATGTTTCTACAATTCTAAAATGACATTGTCATAGCAATGTGGCTGGTTGCTAAGTTACCTGTCCCTCTGTGTACTCATCCAGACAGATTGCACATCCTTCACAGCCAGACGAGTTACTGTAGATGTCGGACACAGGGGTTTGAACCCTCAGGGATTTCCCCGATGATGATCCTTTAAACTTTCTTGTTTCCAATTTGGATATTGCACGTTTTGCCAAAGCAGACATTGAAAGCTGCAATAGAAATATATTCACATTAAGTGGAACTCTCCTGATTACTTGGATCTGATGTCTAAAATATCAAAGAAACATTCTCATCTACCCATGTTTTCATTTTTACTGAACAGTACTATGAACTAAATTTCCAAACATTTTAAAAAAGAAAATTAAAAAAAAAAAAAAGATAATTTTTACAGCAAAACTGGGAACTGTTAAGTAGTTACTAATAGGGATTAACAAAGTTGTTTTTTTAACCCATGTAGCATGTTCCATAGACACAGAAGACTATCAACAAAAATGTTTTGTTGTCTTTCACAAACCATGATTATAATTTACCTGTTGCTCTCGATGTCTCAGCTTTAACTGAAAAAAAAAGAACACCAAATTGATCATTGAAATTTGTGATAAGGCTGTCTGAGCGTGTATAAAGACAATGTCTGTACTTAACAAGAAGAAAACATCAATTTCCTCAATGTGTAGCAATATTAGATTAGCAAAGAATCCCGAAGATCTAAACCTAGTGTGCACAGAATACCTAAATTCTAACTCTGCAACAGATATAAAAGACATTTAAATTTGATTGTTGTGACGCAAGACATACTGAATATGGTTTAACACTAGACATGTCTAAGATAGTTTTGACACAAGACACATCAAATATGGTTTAATACTAGACATGTCTAAGATAGTTGTGACATAAGACATACTGAATATGGTTTAACACTAGACATGTCTAAGATAGTTTTAACACAAGGCATATTTCAGAAGGTTTTGCACTAGACATGTCTACAATTGTTTGACACAAGACACAAGATTGTTTGTGTAAGTGCAAGTCTTACCTTTAAAATGACTATGATACAGATGATACAGAAAAGGAAAAACACAGCGACAAAAATGCCCATGTCAAAATATTCTTTGGTACTTTTCTGAAATAGACAATAAGAATACCATAAAGCCTTGCATACCATTCATGTCAAATATAAATTATTTGTACAAATATGTATTAATGTAAGTAACATGTCATTGGAGAAATTTTCAACAAATGGTTAGCATCGATGAGAGCTCGAGTCATATGATATTAAACAAATTTTCCTCAAGGACGATTGAAACAGGGTTGTTAAATTTTTGAAAACAATAAGAACATGACCTGTCAAAAATAACAGTAACTCACCGGAGGTCCAATAGGTTGTTGCTGGTGTTGGGATCGAATTCTGGCTCTAGCTTTGTTTGTTGTCTGCTCAATGATACGCATTAGCTCCACAGCCTCCAGTCCATGGATCACGATGACAGGACGGTCCAGTTGGTCTTCTGTTCGAGAATTTAGCTACAACACCAACATTTTTCCTTTATATTTTCATTTAATGGCCAATTTTGATATTGATTGTATGTTCCAGGTAGGTAATATAGGTGCAGAATAATCAACATTCTGAAATTTTTTTCAATCTGAATTCTTCATTTAAAGAAATTTTCTATATTTTTACTTAAATCTTTCCAACATAATACTAAGAAAATTTCTCAAATTTTGGATTGTTTTGTAAACAAGACTGTATGTCCTAGAATGAAGTCAATACCTCGCTTGCTGCACTGGGTACCTCTGTGATGTCAAACACTACGGCTGTAGCCCCTCGGTGTATAGCTTTCCTCGCCTGTAAATAAAAAACAATTTAACTTATTTGGGACCAAGTCAACGATAAACCTATAATATTACAAGAGATCAACGTCCTTGGTTGTTTAGTTTTAACATCTCAGTTTCCCCTTTCTCCAGTAACATTAAACACAAGGTAAATGCCATGAAATTTACATTCTGGACCTGCTTTCATTAGTGAATAACCTAGACAAACAGGATAATGCCAATCAGAGACAGAGAAATGTTTTGATTATTCTCTCACTATCATGTGGACCCTATCTCACTATCCTGTGGACCCTATCTCACTATCCTGTGGTCCCTATCTCACTATCCTGTGGACCCTATCTCACTATCCTGTGGACCCTATCTCACTATCCTGTGGACCCTATCTCACTATCCTGTGGACCCTATCTCAGTATCCTGTGGACCCTATCTCACTATAGTGTGGACCATGTCTGAGCTGCTAACCCTATTTCACTATAGTATGGACCCCATCCAATCTGCTGACCCTATCTCACTATAGTATGGACCCCGTCCGATCTGCTGACCCTATCTCACTATAGTGTGGACCATGTCGAGCTGCTTACCCTATCTCACAATAGTGTGGACCATGTCTGGGCTGCTGACCCTATCTCACTATAGTGTGGACCATGTCGAGCTGTTGATTCTATTTCAATATGTTGTGGGCCACAGCTGAGCTGCTGACCCTTGCTCATGAAGTACATTCCATGAAGTATATTCTGTTACTACAATAAAATCTATGACCCCCAGGCAGTCCAAAGCTACAGAGCTCCTAAAAATCATTATCACCACCATAAAAAAATGACTAGCTGAGACCCCAGTGAAAAAAACTAATTTGACCAAAGGTCATCCTGGACAGAATGGGCCATCACTGTCACCCATCAAGAGAGATCACAGACTCTTAAATTTCCGCTCCATTTTCCATCACAAGCGTTCCAGTCTCTGGTTGTCGCTCTGATTTCCGCCACTAGACCTAAATCTTGTCAAGTCAAGAGACCAACATTTTTTTTCAAAGCTGGAATGTCAACACCAAGAGATGATTTATAGTGTGTTCACAAGTGTTTTTACATGTCTTTTATAACTGGTTGTGTTTTCTTCGGGAAAGTTTACTACAAGGTATATTTTTTAAAACACACATCATCTTAAATCTTTTTGTAAAGAATGGGTGATTTCTATAGCTAACAGATTTACTTTACACAAAGGATGGTTTGGTTTGTTGATTTGTTTATTTACCTATTTCCTTTTCTCACATAATGCACTACAAACAATTTTTCCTGTAAAATTTTTGTGAAGAATTAAGGTACACTTAATTAATATTTGCTGTACAAATTATGCTACCTACTATTTTTGAGCTGCAAATTCATATTGATCAAGTTTGTAATTGAGAGGTTCATAACAGCTGTTTTCAGACACAATTCATTTAATTCAAAAATTAATATTGTGCCATTTTATGTGTCATTGGCAGGGATACTTTGTCATTAATCTAACTCATACTTTTTTGTTCCTTTCAAATTACAAACAACTATTGATGATTAAACACCAAACTATGAACGTCTATCGATCATACTTACTGATAAAAATAGTTCCTGTAATTTCAAATCCTAACATGAATACCTTGAAGTCTTTTGTGTTGAAATATCATCACAGATAATAACATAATTATAGAAACAACTTGTTTAACATGATCGTTGTATACCTGTGAATACCTATCTATTTCACACCTGGGTTCTATAATTATTATGTAATTGATTTAAATCTTCAACCATTTTCTTAAGATCTCTCAAAATAGTCTTTTATTAACAAGAAAAAAAAGTTCAAAGGGTATCATTTCATGCCACTTGCCCACTTTCCTGTTCATACAAGTCTTAGGTGGTACATTAACTTTGTCAACCAATGTCTTTCATCTTTATAAATTATTCTAAATTGAAATCTGTGTATGAACTTATATTTCAGATTTCAACCTATTTTACATAAATTGAAATGGTCACATTCTATATTAGCAATCATTAGGAATAATGATAAAACTTATACCTCACATCTACATCATATAACTCATCGCATCCTTCCTTCATTTACAGGTATACACAGTATATTGAGTTCCCCGGGTGTGCAAACACCTGTAATATATACCTGTACAGGGTACCTGTACACAATACATATAACTGCGTACCCTACACCATTCACATAACCAACAAAAGGATCAGACAGGTAAAAAGGAAACTAAAAACTCCAGACATTTTGATGAAGAGTGTCTATCACATTCAGTACATGTGAAATGTGTTGATATAAGGTGTACAGTGGTAATTAGAGGGAGCAGGTAGTCTGATTACCTAGAACATCTAATTATCCTTACACCCTCCACTACACCCAAAACTCTATCAACTCACCAGGCCTACATTCTGATCCGATTTCTATAAAAGGCCATCAGATTTCAATGATTGCCATCCCATTCATCACGGAATATAGTTTTTATCTTGTTTAGATTTTTACCTTTTGATGTTGTGAATTAATCTTTACTTGATGACTTTGCATAAAAACGGTATTATGACAAAGTGCTTAAATATCCTTACTTACCATGTAAACGTCTACCTCTGTATTATTATTCCATGCCTCTTTGTGTCCTCTTGGTAATAAATATTTGGAAGTAATATTCACCAGACATCCTTGTTGATTTTAGGGTAACTGATTATAGAAAGGTTTACCTGGAGGTACTAACTTCAGGTAGGTTTACCTGGTGGTACTGATTACTATACATGTAGGTTTACCTGGTGGTACTGACTTCAGGTAGGTTTACCTGGAGGTACTGACTTCAGGTAGGTTTACCTGGTGGTACTGATTATTATACAGGTAGGTTTACCTGGTGGTACTGATTATTATACAGGTAGGTTTACCTGGTGGTACTGATTATTATACAGGTAGGTTTACCTGGTGGTACTGATTATTATACAGGTAGGTTTACCTGGTGGTGGTTTACCTGGTGGTACTGATTATTATACAGGTAGGTTTACCTGGTGGTACTGATTATTATACAGGTAAGTTTACCTGGTGGTACTGATTATTATACAGGTAAGTTTACCTGGTGGTACTGATTATTATACAGGTAGGTTTACCTGGTGGTGGTTTACCTGGTGGTACTGATTATTATACAGGTAGGTTTACCTGGTGGTACTGATTATTATACAGGTAGGTTTACCTGGTGGTGGTTTACCTGGTGGTACTGATGATTATACAGGTAGGTTTACCTGGTGGTGGTTTACCTGGTGGTACTGATGATTATACAGGTAGGTTTACCTGGTGGTGGTTTACCTGGTGGTACTGATGATTATACAGGTAGGTTTACCTGGTGGTACTGATTATTATACAGGTAGGTTTACCTGGTGGTGGTTTACCTGGTGGTACTGATTATTATACAGGTAGGTTTACCTGGTGGTACTGATTATTATACAGGTAAGTTTACCTGGTGGTACTGATTATTATACAGGTAGGTTTACCTGGTGGTGGTTTACCTGGTGGTACTGATTATTATACAGGTAGGTTTACCTGGTGGTACTGATTATTATACAGGTAGGTTTACCTGGTGGTGGTTTACCTGGTGGTACCTGGTGGTATGATTATACAGGTAGGTTTACCTGGTGGTGGTTTACCTGGTGGTACTGATGATTATACAGGTAGGTTTACCTGGTGGTGGTTTACCTGGTGGTACTGATGATTATACAGGTAGGTTTACCTGGTGGTGGTTTACCTGGTGGTACTGATTATTATACAGGTAGGTTTACCTGGTGGTACTGATTATTATACAGGTAGGTTTACCTGGTGGTACTGATTATTATACAGGTAGGTTTACCTGGTGGTGGTTTACCTGGTGGTACTGATGATTATACAGGTAGGTTTACCTGGTGGTACTGATTATTATACAGGTAGGTTTACCTGGTGGTGGTTTACCTGGTGGTACTGATGATTATACAGGTAGGTTTACCTGGTGGTACTGATTATTATACAGGTAGGTTTACCTGGTGGTACTGATTATTATACAGGTAGGTTTACCTGGTGGTACTGATTATTATACAGGTAGATTTAGGCTATTATAACCAGTATATTTCTTCCAACACTCCAGTGTGATTCCTCTCATACTACACATATTCTATCCTTTTGCTTTCCTGTTATAACCCTACCCTCTCAGTATATACTCAGAGATCAAACAGAAATCTTGGCTGTTCTATCTCTGTTACCTGTGGCCTTTCTCAAACTATGTCACACTTCCTAACAATAACAGGACAGATTGGTCTGTTGCATGTTAGCTGGTCATTCATTTATCTGTTAGGACTTACAGGAGTAAGGGTTGATAATGATCATCATTGTTTTGTTCCACCATTACCAGAACAACATAGGGTGATCCAATCTCTAGTAAACCACACAGCAGGCTGTGTAATAGAAGCCCCACGATCTAACAGTGGCCGAGGACACATGTCTGTACAGATATAGTAACCTAGAGTGTCTCTTCCTACAGATACAGTAAGTAACCTAGTGTACCTGTCTGTACAGATACAGTAACCTAGTGTACCTGTCTGTACAGATACAGTAACCTAGTGTACCTGTCTGTACATATACAGTAACCTTAGACACCTGTCTGTACAGATACAGTAACCTAGTGTGTCTCTTCCTACAGATACAGTAACCTAGTGTACCTGTCTGTACAGATACAGGAACCTAGTGTACCTGCTGTCTGTACAGGTACAGTAACCTTAGACACCTGTCTGTACAGATATAGTAACCTTAGACACCTGTCTGTACAGATACAGTAACCTAGTGTGTCTCTTCCTACAGATACAGTAACCTAGTGTACCTGTCTGTACAGATACAGGAACCTAGTGTACCTGCTGTCTGTACAGGTACAGTAACCTTAGACACCTGTCTGTACAGATACTGTAACCTAGTGTGTCTGTCTGTACAGATACAGTAACCTAGTGTGTCTCTTCCTACAGATACAGTAACCTAGTGTACCTGTCTGTACAGATACAGGAACCTAGTGTACCTGCTGTCTGTACAGGTACAGTAACCTTAGACACCTGTCTGTACAGATACTGTAACCTAGTGTGTCTGTCTGTACAGATACAGTAACCTTAGACACCTGTCTGTACAGATACAGTAACCTAAGACACATGTCTGTACAGATACAGTAACCTAAGACACCTGTCTGTACATATGGCTACAGAAACATATAAGACCTTTCTATCTTGTACAACTGCTCTTTTTTATGAGAGTCCATGTTGTCAGAAGTAAGTTAGTCATTCTGATTAAGAGATCATAAATATGGTCAGGAATATAACCATGCTTTTATTTGTGAATCCATTATATAATGTTACTGAAAACTACAGTTACCACTAAGGTAATCTCCATACCACAGTCAAGTGTACTGGGCACACTGGTGCAAACTCATTTGTGGAATGATCAGTTAAAAACTATAAGTATTTGTGTGTGTTGATAGCAGTACAATCTCCACCAACATCTGGCTCTTCTGACTTTAGCCTTTATCACTCCATAGAAATCTAGTATAAATACCAACAAGTGACTGGGGCCTAATGTGGTTGGGTTTTATTGTCTACAATAGTGACAGTTATTTAGTCACATTGTGATTTATCATTGTCAGCGGCACTGTGTTCTATACTGTCATCAGTGCCACCTGGTGACAGTTTCTATCTACACGGTGTTCTATACTGTCATCAGTGCCACCTGGTGACAGTTTCTATCTACACTGTGTTCTATATTGTCATCAGTGCCACCTTGTGACAGTTTCTATCTACACTGTGTTCTATACTGTCATCAGTGCCACCTGGTTACAGTTTCTATCTACACTGTATTCTATACGGTCATCAGTGGCACCTAGTGACAGTTTCTATCTACACTGTATTCTATACGGTCATCAGTGCCACCTGGTTACAGTTTCTATCTACACTGTGTTCTATACTGTCATCAGTGCCACCTGGTGACAGTTTCTAACCTTCTGTAGAGATGGGTGTGTAAGACTCAACTGTTGGTAGAGATAAATGAAGGAGTTCAAGACTTACCTGTTGGTACAGAGACATACAAGGTCTTGAGAACAACGCCTCTAGCTTCATCACTCCAACCCAACCATAGAGGTGTTTTTCATTCAAGTTTTCATTGCAGATACTCATGGGATGGAGCTAAAATACAAAATAAAACAACCAATCAGGAAATAACTCACAAATATAAATACAAAATAAAACAACCAATCAGGAAATAACTCACAAATATAAATAAAAAATACAACAGCCAATCAGGAATGAACTCACAAATATAACACTTAATACAACAGCCAAATAAGAATAAAATCACAAACATAATAGTTATTGTCTGAAGTTTCATTTACCCGGTATATGTTTTCTTAGATTTGGATTGTGACAAACCAGAACCCTTTCATGATAGCAGTAAAGCCCTCACACCATATCTAACAGTAGGGCCCTCACACCATATCTAACAGTAAAGCCCTCACACCATATCTAACAGTAGGGCCCTCACACCATATCTAACAGTAGGGCCCTCACACCATATCTAACAGTAAAGCCCTCACACCATATCTAACAGTAGGGCCCTCACACCATATCTAACAGTAAAGCCCTCACACCATATCTAACAGTAGGGCCCTCACACCATATCTAACAGTAAAGCCCTCACACCATATCTAACAGTAGGGCCCTCACACCATATCTAACAGTAGAGCCCTCACACTATATCTAGCAGAAGAAACCTAGTGTGTGTAATGTACATGTGTCCTTTGACTTGGGAGTTAACTATACATGTTGTGACAGACATATCCCAGGACTTCTGTATGTCGTGACAGACATATCCTAGGACAATTCACCTGAACCACTTTCCTTCTGTATGTCGCGACAGACATATCCTAGGACAATTTATCTGAACCACTGCAATCCTTCCACCAGACATTTAAAATATGCTAAACTGTCCTTTTTTCACCTCAGTACTATGATATAAGGCTTCTTCCTTCAGTCCCCAAGCTAATACTAAGATGTCTACAACACATATAGAGTAATGTGGCATAATGCCTAATAAATTATTGCAATTGTATCATCTTTCAAATAACAAATTTTAAGTTTTAACTCCAACTATTTACAGATTAATCATCTATATTGAAGCAAATAAAGCCAGTTTGCAATCTGATTACCACTTTTATCTAACTTCAAAGCTTGACAGTCAATAGCGAATGGATTTGTTTAAACACCGCATGTTTATAAGAAAGTTAAAGTTCTATTCAGTTTTTAAAGATACCTATTGAGACCATAGATCTTTACTCAATCTTATACAACAGTTTACATATGTTAAAAGCTTGACTTTTTTTCTCTCTGCATAACACTTTACAATAACATGCATTGAGTATATTATATTGTGAGCTTTACTGTAGGATGGTTAGTTTACATCTTTTGAATTAACCTAATTAAATGTAAAAATCATTCAAAATATAGTGCACAGTCACGCTATGTATTTGTGACAATTCAATTGAATGTTATCAAAATCGCCAACAAAATGTTGTTGGTTTATACATGACACTGAGCAAGCTGTTGCTCCCCTATAGTCTGGTGTGTAGATTCTCAGTGCGTAATCCCCAGTAACAAATAACATTAAGTAATCGTAAAATTTCTTTTAGTAGTAAAAACCCTGCTCCGTAACATACAATATCATTCTCAGTTTCTATCATCATATGTATAAGATTGCTTCTGTTCATAACAACTTGATATGTCCTGGAGCAATAAATTTTTATATCACAAATTTGTTATCATCGTCAAAACAAAGGCATATCAATTTTCAATTTTAAAAAAACAGTGAAAAGAAAAAAAATGCGAGGTAGCGGTTTAATTTTTATGCAAAAATGAATTATTTAATCAAGCCTGGATACATTTAAGCAATTCTACCTAACCTGAAACTGAAACACTACATAATGGACCAAATATGGTAACCACCTGGGACTCTCTACACTAGCAGGCACACAACTTATCCATGTCACGATTACCCTTTTGATGTAAGTAGTCAACACTAGATATGTTATTGACAGAAAGAGTCATTGCCCATTAACCAACACTAAAACCACCCAATTTTAATGTTTTAAGTGAATAACATGACTTTAAATATTGACTTGTCTCCCAGGTGAGTCTTTTTTTCCCATTGTTGATCTTAACTATGTATTGACACTTGACTAAATATCTTATTTTGAAAGCACTCGCTAGAGCTAACTTACAAACAACCAGCTAAGTTTTGTGTTTCTGATAATTGTTTATAGTTCAATTCAGTGTGCATGTGCACCATTCTGCCATGGAGAGGTCCCTACAATGGCTGTTCAATACCCTTTAACCTACAGTATGACTCACAAAGGTACTTAGACCCACGGGGGAACAGGGTCAAGTGAAATGAGTTCCTACCCCAATATATCATAAAACACCTATTCCTAAAATACTTCTGTATTTCAAAACTAAATACTTCAGGAGAGGGTAAATACATATTAGAACAAGAAAATTATGGTAATTTTAAACCATTTGTGGGTCAATTAATTCTGAAGTTTGAATTTTTTGTGAAACACAATGCAATAAGCAAACTAAATGTTAATGTAAGATCAATGGCAGTGAAGTTCATATGAGATCTTTAGAGTTATATGCCAAGGAGTTCTGCATTTTGAACTTTCCCTGGTTATAGCTTTCATTTCCCGAAGCCTTCAAGTTGGTCTGTATAATCTTGACTGTCTAAACTCAAGGAAGCTGCTCTCCATTCTGGTCGTATTCTCCTTGTATCTTCTCAGGAGTCTCTATGAAAATATTTCTTTTGTTCATATTTTGCCTTAGTTTCGTCAAATTCATCTGTTGACATGTCTGTATTTTCTTTGTTGTTTTTGTCACCAAAATACTACGAAATTTCATCATATATTTTATGATTTCCTTCGGTTTGTATGAAATTCTCAATGAAATTGTCTCTTTACATAACCATTTGAAAAGGCTATATGATTATAACACATACTTTACTTATATAAGACACAGTAAATTCTTAATTTCAGTACCATATTGTTTTAAGTTCTATAAAACAAAGCAGAAATCTATTTCTTACCCTATAAAGATACTGAATCTATACTATTTGTTATCACTATCAAGTAATCCAAAAGTTTTGAAATAAATACTGACATGGTTGATAAAGCCAACACAGACATCTTAATATTTTATATAAGGTTTTTGCTATGAAGCATTCCTGCAGCTTAACACTGCAACCCAGATATATCCAACTCGCTATTCAATATTCCTCTCTGCTGGGGAAAGGTTATGACCCAGTTGTGTGGCCCCAGTAAGGGAGTATTTATCAGACCACAATATATATTAATCTAACTGTTGACTGTATGACAAGGATATTGAAAGTAAAAGATATTAGCCTGCTGGCTCATGAACTTGAAAGGCCCAACTTACAATTTTGTTTTCTACCAGGCCAAGATTTATAACTGATCAGAGTGAAGTCTCAAGTAGCTGGTATACCAACTAAGGAACATGTGTACAGGACCTGTTTGATAGAGCAATGGCAGATCACTTGATGTCTACCAATTTCATATCTACAGCAAACAAATAAATCTGTTATTAGCAGTCATTTTATAGAGAAAACTCATCCCCTTTGCCACATTTATTGACTAGGCCTGGCTGTAACCTGTGCGTAATATCCAGTCATGTGCATTGCTTCTAAATCAACTCAACCCACTGAGCTTCTTAAGTGTACACATGTTGACATAAATAAACACAAACTTAAGAAAAATATCAACAATCAAAGAACTTTGTCCGTATTTAAAACGGTGCCAATATGACATAGATAACCTATATGGACCAACTTTCAGGTCCAATGTTGACATATATTTGTTTAGGCTATGTACTGGTACGTTTATAAACACAAAGTGTAGTTTTTCTTTTAAATGTTTTCATATGACATGCATTTTTTTATGCTAAATCATAGAAGAATTTCAAGTTAAATGTACCAAATCAAAATAATGAAATCTATTAATTCTGAATACGAGAAGGAAAATCGTCCCTTATCACCAAAGAGTGAACACGCAGGTAACTATATTACAGCAACAAAGCTTCTATTGATGTCGGTGTTGGTGCTGACTTCTGTTAACAACTCCAGGTCTATAGGCCTTTTAGTTTGTGAATAACCTACATTCTATATCCATATATAGCACCGAGGTGGTGTTTCTCTCGTATATAATTTGACAAGGGTACTGTCCTGGGGTACATGCGATATAGTTCTTTTTCAGTTCGTAATTACCAGTGTTGAGAAATGCCTGTGTTTGTTGAAGCCACACACTATCACCTAGGTCTGTTTGCTAATATCCCCAGCAAAGAAAATACTATACAGTAGAAAGTGGAATCTGACTATTGTCAATAATGCTAGATCATTACCACATAAAGTACTTTATCACTTAAAATCAATCATTATCATGTTTTAATTATAAGTTACTGAATATAGGTTACCAGTCCTTAATCTATACCAAATTATCTCCCTTTACAGAACACAAAGACGTATACTCTGTGGATGTTGCTGTACCTTTTACAACAAAATGTCATAATGTTCATATTATTAAACATATCTGACTGCTTAATACCATAAAATGTCTTTTTTAGAATTCAATTTCCAGGATGAGAACGTGATGGTATGTAAGGTGACCTACCATCTCTCAAGGCACCAAGATCTAACCAGTTTCTAGAATAAGAATGTGATGGTATGTTAGGTGACCTACCATCTCTCAAGGCACTAAGATAAGAATGTGTTGGTATGTAAGGTGATCTACCAGCTCCATCTCTCAGGTGTTGGTATGTAAGCTCTTCTCTCAGATCTAACCAGTTTCTAGAATGTGTTGGTTTGTAAGGTGATCTTCCAGCTCCTTCTGGGCTCTTAGATCTAACCAGTTTCTAGAATAAGAATGTGATGGTATGTTAGGCGACCTACCATCTCTCAAGGCACTAAGATAAGAATGTGTTGGTATGTAAGCTGACCTACCATCTCTCAAGGCACTAAGATCTAACCAGTTTCTAGAATGTGTTGGTATGTAAGGTGATCTACCAGCTCCATCAGGGCTCTTAGATCTAACCAGTTTCTAGAATAAGAATGTGTTGGTATGTAAGGTGAT